GATTCAAGCTTTTGCCAAGATGGATAGCATGAGGAAGTTTACTTGGCAAGGTGGAAAAGTTGACGGGATGATGGGAAGAGGGCTGAAAGGAAAGGGCTAGTTGTAGTTGGAGGTGTACTTGTTCTTGTACCGGGACTTGATTTGAAATGGTACTTGTTCTTGTGCCGGTACTTGGATTTGTCCTTGATTTTGAATGCAAATAGAATGAAAGAAGGTCAAAGGACTCATACTCATACTCAACTCCGTAATTCATCATAATGCACAACCCTCCTCATAAGTCGAGTGACATGCCGAAATACCTAGTTCTAGTCCCTAATCTGTATGATTCCCTCTCTACCTAGTAGTTCTAGTCCCGACCAACTCCACCACCAACAAGTAACCCAATCTCCCATCTCCCGAGGTCTGCTTGGACCCATCCACACGCTCTAGTCTTCCTCCCTACGGATCGTCTTTCTTCTTTCAACGGTGAGATGGAATTTTAAGCTTACTTCCGTGCTTCCCTCACGCCAGTCTGGTGTCCAGGTAATCAAAAAAAACCAAGTTTCCAACAAATCGATAGAGTAATGAGGAAGATGTTACTTTATATACGATCCTTTTAGTATCAATCGACCACTTCATTGGAGAAGCTGCGAGCCGTGGATTCCGTACAGCCGTCTTGGTGTTTGGCTTGAACCCTGGATGCGAAAGGTATGAATCTAGCAACGAGACACGCTAGACCATACTTGGATTCCCATTGATAAGAAATGTACGATGTACTGGGTAGGTACTCACTGTCTCAGACTCCAAGGTCCTTAATGGATCATGGCGTGCAGATTTTCATGCAGTAGGATTGGAGAATTGAAAGAATGGCAAACATGGGGTCATCGACTACGTCATAAAGGGCTTGGGGAAGAAAAAGAAGAAAAAAATGGGATGAAGTAAAAGGTTATCGAAAACTGCCGAAGATCGAATCCAATTAAATGAAAGAGTTAATAATAAGTCTTTTGCAACAACAACGACGACAACAACAACAACGACAAGAGGATTTCGTTGATTTGTGACTGTCCATTGGCTTGACGAAAGGAGGTGGGGAGGGAGGAGGGAGGAGGGAGGAGGGAGGAGGGAGGAGGGGCGGGGAATACTACATAAGTAGGTAATGCAACAGGAATACTGGTAGTACGAATGAGATACAGGTAAAATGTCACAATATCCTCCTGTATGGCGGAATCTCACGTGAAGATTCCGCTATCTCTGTTCAAACCCGGAATGTTTGCACGTGTTTACGTACTTACCCTACCTAGGTAATTGTGCATCTATCATGAACTGCCCAGGTGTATATCCTTCCTCTATTTCTCTACCTTTCTACCTTTCTACCTTTCTACCTTTCTACCGTCGATTCTTCTCCAAGCTTTCAATTTACCTGAACTTTCTCAGCATCACAAACCATCATCCGAATCAATCTTATTGTCGTAAAGATCCGTCTGATATGAATATGACGGGATCCTAGGTAGACAGTCATTTCAACCACAATTCTTTAACATATTCCTAAAGTCAATAATCATCGCTATCAACATTGTTGCGGAGCAATATTTTGGGTAGTTCTCACATTCTTATTATGGTCAATGCCGATCATGATATCGTGGGGAAACTCCAAGAGTCTCAACTGCTCAGTAGACCTAGCATTGAGACGACACTTTCATAGTGCGGAGTTGGTGGGATTTGCTACATTTTTATCGTTGATATTGCTGTGACAATGGACGCTTATTCAGATGCCATTGGAAAAAGGATTGTACTAGACATATAGCTGTGTCATTGATCGAGACTGGGGGGCCCAGATTGATCAGCCATCCAATCAATCGTTTCACTGAGCCAATAATTCTCAAATTTGAATGAATTCGAAACCCCGCACATTGTAGTTTAAGAAGAACTACCTCTACATTGGATACCAACTACTGTACTAGAGTGATGCACCGGTACTTTCTTATTTTTGGCTCGGCACTGCATCATAAGAGATACACTACTTAGTAAGTGTTGGCATCTAGTAGAAGACTAGATGCCACATGTCACTCACCTACATCCCACCACCCCAAACACATTTTCCTCAAATCTAATATCAAACTATCCATACAAATGTTTGCTATCTCCTTATGCAATTCCCAATATTTCTCCCTCATTGATCATTAGGATTTCCCAATTCGGACATCATGCCATTAAAATCCCTTTTCAAAAAGCTGTGTTCCCGCACCTCGGAGTCAATCCATAAGAGTCATTCGCGTCAAGCAAGTAAAGAAGATGAAATATACCATTCTGAATCCAATCCCAGCTATCTCAAACTCTTATTGGAAGCGTCCGGCAAGCCACTACGACCTATTAAAGCCAGCAGTGTTCCTAGGGGTGATTGGAGCTTCGCCGACCAAGAAGTATGGTTATTCAGAACCTTAGTCGAGGTGTGCCATCGACCGGACTATAATGCTTACGACATCGTCAAAACATACAGTATGGAAAATGATCTGGAGGATTTATACTTGTTAGATGAAGAGGATTGGTCGAAAATCTTAGGGAGCTGGAAAGATGGTGCGACAGTCCATAGTATCTTGAGGAACATGGAGAGGAGGAGCAAGCCCCGGTTTAGAAATACTATATCCAGGACCGAATCCAAACTCGAATCGAAGGTCCAACAATTTAATCACCGTGATAATACTCGGTCTAGGACAACCAATATACATTTTTGAGATTCTCAAGGCTCAAGAACGCGTCTATCATCAGCTTGCAGTTATTTGAAAACAAGTATGAGGTGTCCTTGGCGAGGAATCGGTATACTCTGATAATCCAGAGATGCGCATCTGGAATGTGAGAGGTTTGACACCCGGTTTGGAAGAACACGAAGGGTGGACTGGCATGGTGTCTTCATTATGGTTGATCCAAATGATATCGTTTGGTACGTCATTGCATCGACACTTCTCAGACGCGTAGATGGCATCCTCTGGACTCTCCAAGCGGAGAGCATTCTACGGAATTCTACCTTTAAATCCAATGGAGGAGATCATCTACTCACCATAGATATGCATTGGAGGAGGGTCCCATTGTGTCAAAAAAATATCATGGACCCGGTCTCTGTTGACGCAAGTCAAGGAGAGGAGATTCGCTCTCAGTTGGAAACACTTTGGGGGGGATAATCAGTATCATTCGATCAAGAAATTTGGTCACAGGATTATGTCACGACGCATGATCAGGCGAATTTCGATTCTTCAGACCTAATTTAAGTTCAAGGCTAGCAAATTCTTCAATCCAACCGATTTGAAGATATCTTTGATAGCATTTTATGCATGTCCAGTTTCTCAATTGCTACCTCTCTCTAAGAAATTATGGGTCCACAAATCCATACACCTACCCTTGCTAAGTTTCAAATTACTCCCTGGTAATAACAAATTCCATCATCAACACATCCGTTCCCATGTATGCACTCTCCTTGGGATCATTACCGAGTTGCTCCCAAGTTAACAGTCTCGATTCCGTTTTCCATTGCGTTCCCGTTCTCTTCCCAACTTCATCCCACACCTCCTTCCAAGTCTCTGGGGGCTGCAGAAGGCACTTGTATTTAGAGCCAGGGGGGCCAAGTAACTCCCGTTGCTTGGGGACGTCGATTTGGTAACCTAATATCAAACTCCCTGGACGATCTCGGGACAATTTGACTAACTGCGTAGCCCCCTCGATTTGGTTCTCTAAATTCCACTGATGGAAAATCTGGTTCACCAAAATGACATCCATCGTTCCGTGCAATGCCTTCAACTGTTCACGTGGTTGCAACATATCATCTTCAAAAAAGTCAACTTTAAAGGTATCCTTATCACGAAAAAACTCATAGCCCAAGTCCCAATGATTGACAATGTCCACGGCATGGAGCTGGTCTGTAGGCGCACCATTTAGGTCCCACACCAATTGACGTAATTCTTGGCCGAGGAAGCATCCAATATCTATGAATGAGTCTCCGCCTTTGAGTCGGGCAACAATATCTTTATACGCTGGCGACTGAGCGAGAAGATTATCAAGGAAGCGACCCAGACCTGTGCACGGGTATGGACGAATTGCCCATGCCTTTTCACGCTGTACAAGGGTTAGTTTTGGTCAACACAAAACACATCAGCGATGTTCATGGTCGCCATGTAGAGACGGCTCACAATGTCATATATGTGTTGACGAACATCCTCCGGCGAGATCTTGCTATAATTCTCGAGAAGTCTACGACACTGTCAAGTAGCATTAGCTTAAGAGTCTTGCATTCTTCATATGAGGCCAGCTTACCTGGGGAATGATTTTGTGATCGATGTTATCGAGCCACCACATGTGCTCCTTGCTTGGAACAACGCCGTTGATGGGATCGGAATTTTTCTCCTTGCCGTCGGCGACAGAGGATGTGGGCATTGTGGTAGCCATGCTTTTTGGATCAATGATGGTCAAAAGATTTGGTATCACAACAGAATACAGATTCTCAACACAAATTTCCCATCTTGGGAGATGCAAGCAGGGAAGCCATCTCCTTTATATAGTCCACATGGCCTCATTTGTCACATGCGTGACAAGGCTATATGCCGCATATCCCCGATATATCTCATGCTGGAAGCTGTCCAACAGTTGGTGCCACTTTGGAGTCTAGCGCGGTTGGAAATTTGTGGATTCAAGCTCGGATGCGCCGGCGAATTAATGGTGTAAGAAGGGGTGGGTGTGTTCAGATGGTATGTCTACACTCGCTTTTAATTCATATTTTCATCACAGTATGATCGAAACCCTTCGGTTCTCTGTCGCGAGTCCCGAGGCGGAGAAATATCGAGGGTGTCTTGTCGAAGCGAACCATGCCATGCATTGCCTCGTGAGTTTCTAATCCGCTGGAGAAGCCAAAGGTTTTATCGCTGCTTTGGATAGCGAATGGTTCGTCTTCACTACAAAGCGTTGGAGACCGGTACTCCCTGGATTGGAATGTTGCTCACGATTATCATTGCTTTGATTCGCTTCGTCAATATATCATGTGCAATCCAGACTACACGCTTTGGTACATAAGTGGCCATAGAGTTAATGGCTATATGCAAAAGAAGACTTGTCAGGATTGGGATGCTTTGAGAGATTGGACAGAGGAGCATACTAGTAATTATTATGATCAGTATGACATGGAACCAGGCAACGTTGGAGATAATCTGTGGTACAACTATCACGCTGGAGACGGTTTACCAATTGGTAGTCTTTAGAGTACGCATGGGGGTTTTAAAAGACATTGCCACTGTTGGACATGTGATGTGATGTGCATAGTCTGAATCTCTTGGGGTGGAGGCTATAGGAAGTTTGAATTCAATTATTCTTGTGATGCTTCGTCATCGCAAATGAAGAGTTCGCCACGTCTCTCATCCACACCACAGCTCGAGACTAGCTCAATACTTCACCTTCCCTTCTATTGGTATTCCTATTCTTCCATACAAACAGCTTTATGCCGTTGAATCCAATTGAGATGCTGTCAGAATCCTTGCCCTGCAGACTTCTTCTCCTGGAAACTGACAGCAACAATACTGACATCGTTTCTCCCATTGTAATAATGGACCTCGTTGCGTCCATCATTTCCGAGCCTCGGATTCACTCAGGAAACCCATGATTACCGAAGGAGGGACTTCCATCGCCGGTTGCTGTCCAATCCATCACAGCAACCTTTTCCAGCTCCCACGCAGCGTCTGTCATATCTTCGATAATCTCTCAGATCATACGACGTTCCGTCTCGGATGGTAGAATACTAGTCCTCATCCCCACAATTCCCATCGCATCACTGCCCTTTCTTCCGAACATTCTCTCAAAATAGCCATTCATTCTAATCTCTCCCTTCCCACCCCCCCATAAGGAATCATCCCCTGCCCCCCATCCACCCTCCTCCATACCATCTCAACCCTCCTCTCACTCTCTCCCTCCCCTTCAACCCTAACCCATCTCCCCTTCCCTTTCATCTTCTCCTTCTTTCCCCGCGCCGACAACTTCATTTTCATAAACTGCACTTCGGTGTTGAGTTTCGCGCAGAGAGATCGCGTGCGTGAGAGGGTACCTGAGGAGTTGGGACGAGGAGGAGAAAAGGTATGAGATGAGAGGGTGTGGGATGAAGTGTATGAGTTTGATATGGAGAGGGGTCTGTTCCGACTGAAATTGAAGCTGCGGTGGGTGGAGCTGGCGGTGGAAGAGTAAGTCGAGGAGGTCTGTGTAGAGGTTGAGGTTGAGGGGCGGAGGAGAGGTGTATCCATTTCCATGTTCATTGTGGATTACTTTGAAGCTGTTTGATTTGTGATGTGAAAATGGGAAAAAGGAAGATAGACGACGAACTCTATAGAGTCGTAGAACTTGGAATTTAGAAAAGAGGAAATATAGAAATTTTGATGCACCAGGCAATCAATGTAGAATTCAAGATCACCAGATGTTCGGATTATTGCACTCTGCCAGGAAAGCTAGGTACTGAAATGTATATCATTGAAAAACACAGAAATCTCCACAGAAATCTCCTCTTTCTTATATACACTTTCATTGCCTCTCCCGCGTCTACAAGTTACCAAAAATAAACATATACGATAGAAGTCCTACCTGTTACTCAATGAGTTCTCCGGTCCAGAGTCAACAAACCCATTCGATAAGCTCCAACAGATTCGACTTCAAACCTGCGGCTGTGAATTGTAAATGCTTTCGGATCGAACAGGACAATGATCTATAGATGTATCAATATGATTGGCATTGGGAGATTTGAAGTCAGACATCGGGGCGGTAGTAGGACCGGTTTGCTGGGAGAATATTGTGAAACGGGAAAGTTATAGGCTGTGGATTATTCCAGGGGCTTTTGGGCGCTTGATGGGGTTTGAAATCTTCCAGGGGTAAGGTTGTTGATTGACTTTTGAGTGGCACATTGATTGTTTGGTGAGAGATGACAACGACAACAATAATAACAATAACAACAACAACAATAATAATAATAATAATAATAATAATAATAAGTTTAAAGGCAATCAATAAAGTCTTCTGATTTTCAATTCTTCGGGGTTCATTAACTGATCAACCAATGTATGAGTCATGAGCTTTCAATTCACAAGAGGTCTCCAGCACTCATTTGAAACAAAACAAAATGATAGATATCCACCCGAGGTAACGTGACCTACACGATACCAAAGTATGCAATCCCTCCTTGTTGATTGAAAGGCACGCGCGAGGCATGGTACGAGATGCGGCCCTCTAACTCTCCTCACTCTCTCCTCACTCCTCCATGATTGTTCGCTGCGTTATTCGTCTCCAAACTATGCTTGGTCCGGGATTTTGTAGGGCTGGAAGATTACGGAGTAGACACATTTACAAGCAGCAAAAGCCAATTAGATAAGAGATACAGAAAGACGTTGGTATGAAATGCCTCTGCTCATTTATATTCAATGAATGCGCGACGGCATCGGTAGTTAATTTCACGCAAGAGTGGAGATCTTTCCGAGCCTTTGCCTCACTCACGGGAACGCACATTTTCATGGTCCGGAGACGAAATTATATATTCAAGGAGATTGATTGAGTAAGATTACCCCGATTAGCAGATTAGACAGCGTGGCAAGTTCAACATGTTCATGAACGGGCATGGGATGGGCATGGGCATGGGGATAGACATGATTACCAGGTAGGTGTTTCCATATCCATATCCGTTTCCATATCCATTTCCATATCCATTTTTATATTGATGCTTCGTTCTTCTTGTTCCTCTTCATCTACTTCGTCCGTACGTACGTACATCCATCGATAGATATCGTACTTCTTCATGGAACAACACAGACACAGACATTACAGCAAGTAAGACATTCAAGTCAACTTTCTTCAACCCCAGAACTTTATACAATCTCACTTGGATATTCTCTTCTCTTCCTTCCTTCCTTCGCCACTCTCTTCACTTCATTCGTTACATGACCTTCGTTACCTTACATTGTAAGATCTCACCAGAACAATCGAATCCCGAATCTCACTTGAACACTACCCACCTCCGGCTAGGCTTATTAAGAACGCTTTGGGCAGCCTTGCAGTATATTTTTAAAAAGTTCACTTCACTTGTTTCAAAACGCGGAACCCTGCAATTTCTCCTTAACACCGAGGAAATTGTTTGACACTCAGAAGGTCTTGCTATTGTACCGGCCAGTATTAGGTTATTCATACCGTGTTGCTTTGAGACCTTTGACTTGAAAAATCCTCGTCTGGAAGGAAATAGGCAAAAGGATTCGGAGGATTTAAGGCTATACCAAGTGAATAATCTTCGACTGTTAATAATATCACATTGGGTTCACGATTCATAAGGACACCTGCAATACACGTTCCTGAAACTTACATTACAGAACAAGCAAATATGGAGACAGCCGAAGAATACACTGGACGACCCTCCTTCACCAGAAGATCTCCATCTCCAACTGGAAGGCCTTCGCCAGCCATAGGAGCAACGGGAAACTCGGCTCGATGCGTTTCGACAGCCTCCGAAGGCTCGGTATTCTCTGGCAGATCAAGTGCGATGAGTCGTGCGTCTGAGCAAAGTTCGGTTGGAAGCTCGGTTTCTCGATCTTCGTCTGCGAGTTATGGAAATAGAACATCTATGGCAGGTCAGGAAAAGCCGAAACGACGCGGTTATGTTCGACCACAAGGAACCAATTTTGCAAAGTCGGCACAATCGAGAGAGAGCGTTTTGAGCTTGGGAAGCATAGCACATTTACAGTATTACTTCGCTCGAACCGGTCTGCTGGACGGGAAAGGTGGGCGATTAATGAAGAAGAGGAAGGATGGTAGAGAGACTCTGGATTTATCGGTCTTGGACACTTCATTCCTCGTACCTGGCTCGGGGTCTGATGCGGACTCATCATATGCTTCTACGGCTAGCAGCCCAGAGCTCTCTGCTGCACAATTTGGCGGCATGATGACGGATAGTCCTATTCACGACTATAATGAGGATGTGGATGAATACTTTAGCGGCGAAGAAGACGATAATCCTTTGCACATGCTCCCTCCGACAGCAAGTACTTACATTCATCGCGAGAAAGTCGTTGCACCTCCCCCAACTCTGAATCAGCTTAGGCAGGGGTTGGTGGATGCTCTCAATAATGCTACGGCAGCTTTAGAGGACGCAAAGCATGCAAGAACTCCCCCGGCCTCTCCCCTACCCACATCCAAAGTCGAAAATACAAATCCTGCAACTCCTGATGCTAAGCAGAAAGGGTGGTTTGAGGTACAGGGTATGAATATGCTGGATATCATGACTCTTGCTATTCGTGCCGCAAAAATGTACTATACCGCCCATGAACATCCCGAGCGCCTCTTAGCAATCAAATCGGAGAGAGAAATTCGTGGAGAGCTATTATCTGTCCTTGAGGTTTTAAAACGTATGGCTACTCGAGGATTCGCCAATGGAATACGCACCGAAGAAAGAGAAACGATGGATAACTGGGTTGACGGCGTACGTAACATGCTTAGACGGGAGAAAATCCTCGAGGAAGAAGAGCGAAAATTAATAGCGAGTTGGACGTGGCTTCATGCCGATGGTTGGGCAGGAAAGGAGATCGAAAGAGAGTATGCATTCTTAAAATCCATGGATCCGGAACCCGATACCCTGCCACCACTATCATTAGTGGACGATGTAAAAGATGACAGTCTACTTCCTACACCATTTCTGGCGGAAATGAAAACTGGCCTAAGATTAGTGAAGCTTCACAATGCAGCAGTCAAGAAAAGCAAAAGACCGTTTGGAGCAATATCTACATTCCATACTGAATTTAACAAGCCATATCGATCAGCCGAGAATCTACGATTCTGGGTCAAGGCCGCTGAATTGAGATGGGAAGCAGATGTCAAATTTGACGTCATGGGAGTTGTAAATAGCGAGGACCGTGATGCATGGGAAGGATTCGAAGAAGTAATTTGGAAATGGTGTCGAATGGTCAGGGAAGAATTATCGGAAGAACTCAAAAGACCAAGAAAAATGTCTATTAAGGTCTAATTGTAATGGACTAATCAACCGATTTTTGTTATGAGTTTTTTATCTTCATGTGTTTTCACGCTAAGGCTAGGGAGGGAAAGAGAGAGTTCTCTTTTACATACCAATATTTTATTGCACATAATTAGGGTGGACTTTAAGGAGAGGCTATCGGGCATATAGGTTTCATGGGCATATATTTTGTAGTGTTTTTTTTTACATTTCTTTCATCCGCGCTTCTTGCGCACTTTGTTTTTTTGTTGCAGTCTTCTTTTCACTTCATTCGCACTGCACTGGCTTTGAAGGAGTACTATACCCATACATACCCACACTCCCACAACTTTTAGCTATACATACTAGTACATACCTTAAGTACCTTTTACAGAGCTATCCTCATCGTGTGACGATGAGATGAGATGGGCAAATAGAAATATCAAGTTCTCGTTAGCTACCTCATCAATCCATGTACTATTGGTAGTGAAATCTCATCCCCGTCGCATCTTTACCCAAAGCGGAAGTTTTACTCGCGCTCAGATCATGGTGGTTTGTGGTAATGTGATATCGATGATGCTTTTTTTTCTTCTCTTCTTGTGATTTTTCTAGACTCTATACTGAGATATGATATTGAATCTGGAACGCTTAAATAGAGACGTTGGCGCAATAATGCAATGCAGGTTTGACAAGCTTGGTGCGGAGTTCTGGGGTTGCATGTGGGGAGAGGATGGGGGGGGGGGGAACTACGACTCATCTGGTCATTGTATCAAAATGGGAGATGTCATCGAGCTAGAGGAAAGTTAATAGTGAAGAGAGAGAGTTTGAAGGGCATTTGGAAAGTTGGTTTGGCGTGCTGTGCTGTGCTGTGCTGTGCTGTGTTTCGAAGCGTAGAGGAAGAAACTTATGCGTTGGATTTTATGGTTATGGAATTTTTTGTATAGGTAGTGAGTGTATATGTGTTTTATTTTTCGAGATTTAGAAATTTAATTTGTGTGGAGTTGTATAATATGATTATATGATACTTTTCTTGAATTCAATTATATGAAGAATGAAATATATAAAGAAAAGAAAAAAGCTTTATCTTTAGTTTGTTAGTACTCAAGGCTTATTAGATACTTGATTTAGTAATATTGAAGCTATATTACATACTTCAAGATACTAGTGAGTTTATTCGCTCTGAAATAGATAAGTATTCTTTTTGGTGTGCGTTCTAATTTTGAGATGTTTTTGATATCTCATATAATAGAGGCTTTAAGGGAAATTATATGTTGATTGGGTTTGTCTTCTTCTTCTTCTGTCTTTCGTTTTTCATCTATACAAAAAAATCCTTTAATCTTTAATTTTCACATCAGTTGAGATCGTTTTCTTTCGGGGAGATATTCTTATATGATATGATACAATCGCATACGACGATAATTGTAATCTATACTCAATCTATACTCAGGATTCTATACTCTTCAAGGCAAGCAGAACGACGAATTACTATCAAATCTACGTCTGAAATCCCGCGTAGAGCGAAAAATACGATACCACAGCCATCTGGATCTGAATCGAAAAGAATTTCGACGATGACAACCATCGCATCCCAAACCATCTATCGTTCAAAACAGCCAAATACAATCCAACACTACTTACTCCCTTGCGCCGATTTCAGAAATCCAGCAACCACGGGTTTCTTCCAGCGTGCCGAGGAGAAACTATTCGGATGGTATGAAGTAATTAATGAAGGGCGTCCTTACTGTCTCCAAGATGTCCATCTAGTTAGAACCGCATCGCAGGCATCGATTACGCTTTCGGGTTATAAAGAACGCCGACGATTGGCGAGAGAGGTTGAGAGGCGGGAGCAACAGGAGAGTGGGACTCACTTCAAGGAGACTTGCAACTTGTTTGAGCATATCTTTGATATGTGGATTATTTTGTGCAAATGTCAAGGGAATGCGGATGATTGGAGCTGGGATGAGGTGGAATGGGATGAGGTGGAATGGGATGAGGTGGAATGGGAGAAGGTGGAATGGGATAAGGAAAAACAGAGTGAGGGAAAAGAGAGTGAGGGGAAGCAGGATAGTTGCGTCGAGGATGTTGAGCATGTCGAGCATCCTGAAGACCCATAGTAGTGTTTAATACCAGAGTCGAGTTGGAAGGAAATCACAATCGGCGTTTGAACAATGGGAAATGTTAGCGAACTTGAAAGATAGCAAATGGAAAGGTCATGGAAGTGTAGATGAACATTATCCGAGTCAAATAATTTGAGACATCCATAATAGATCACATAGTTTGAATTTCATCTTGACAAACGCAAAATGATAAAATGGTAACAATGCATGCTTTTTCATGATTCAGTCTTTACACCTAGACCTGCCGAGGTACAAGACATGACAATGTTTCCATCCGATATCACCAACCAGAATCTTTTATTCTTCATGATTCAAGACGTTTTTAACATCTGAATCATGATATCTGTCTAAACAAGCAATAATTTAGCCTTACTCCACTTGAAATTAAAATGACAATTTTGCTGATCACTTGAAATCACATGATGGCTACTAAACAAACTTAGAGGGTGAAATTCCACCATTGGTAAAGTGAAACGCGCTAGATCTGAGTCCGCTTCACGACGGCGTGCTTTTAAGTTTTGGATTTTTTTGACGTACTATTTGCGATATACCATTTGAATATTTAAAGATTCTTTCTCTTCAAGATTTTTTTGATTCTTTCGTTGAATATACACACATCTACTTTGATTGCTTGCTAAACGAACAGTTCACAAGATATAAAACTATACAATAACATATCTCAAAATCAACTATAACCCCAATCTTTGCCAATTAAGAAACCGAACAACTCAAAGACACAGCAACCATGGGCGCCAAAGAATTATTCTTCAAGCTTCGAAAGTTTCAAAACGGAATCAAACCTTCTTGCGCTCAGAATCCGCAACTCCAGAGGGTCTCCACGAATGAATCGTTAACCTTTTCTTTTTATGAAAGAAGGAAGGCGACCGAGAACAGACTAGCAAAGGAAAGAGGGGCGAGAAACTTTTTAGTAGAAGAAGAACAAAGGAGGAGGAGGAAAGACAAGAAGAATCGGATAAAAAATGAGGCAAAAGAAGCAAGACAGAGGGTAGCTGAGGAATACGCCATGGCCGGGGGACAATTAAGTTTGCAAGAGATGAATGCCCAGCTAAAGAAATCGAAAAAGGAGGAGAAGGCAACGAATGGTGATTTTACTCCTAGGAATCCTGATGAGGACGATATTGATGGGGAGTGGGACTGGAAAGGCGATGCGGTGAGCTTGAGAGAGTGGGCTTAATGAGATAGGCAGGGAGGCGAATTCACCATGAGTACTTGGGATTTGAAGATTTTATGAGAGCGGAGTTGAGTAGCAGCATACTGGAGTTTGTGGCTCAATGAAATAACAATGTTTGTTATCAAAATTTGATAGTAATATGATACCATTGAAATGGAAATTCAGTGGAAATGCAAAATCTCGTGACAGAATGGACATTGTGGACGACACTCAAATATAAGGGGTTTGACTGCAATACACCATGCCGTGAAAGGCACTGGCATGCTTGCTGTGAAATGAAAATAAAAGGAGGTTCGAGAAAGGGTCAGGGAGAGGTCAATAGACCTGCGATGATGGGAGGCATCAAGCATCTTGCACAACTACTGGCTAGACCTGGCCGCCTGAATACCTTTAAGGACGCAAGTGCTCATGCTGAACTTGAAGCCACTTGCTTCAGATAACGAATCCCTTTTTGCTTGATAGTCTAATCATTTACTTATTTTCTTCGTCGCGAAGGTTTGGGAAGGCAGCAAAAGAAGGAATGTCTGAGCATCGATGAACATAGGAACCTACATTCACCGTCGTAGTTTCAGTCCCTTCGAAGAAAGAGAAGACTTGATACCTTCGTATAGAATGATGAGAAGGGAGCATGCCTCGAGATGGCATGATCGTACTTGCCTCATCGATGACATGAGGTAGACAATGTCATTGAAATGCTGTAGTGATAAAACTGGATCATTTTCTCACTATAAACACACCTCACACACAGAATGTAAGCTTGCCATTGGTTCTAGCCTCACACCCCGCCATGTACTAACAAGAACTATCGTCTCCAAAAATGAGAATGACATTGAAAAAAAGATGAAACCAAAAATGAAAATCCCTGCCCAACACGTCTCGCGTCGCGTCTCCCCATATTTTTCTTTTTCCACTCACCGAAACTTTGTTTCCGCCGCCTTCCAAAACCAAAACCAAAACCAACGCCAAATCCGAACTCTAATCTTCAATCACACTCGCTCACTCCATTTCAACTATACCCTCTTTACCAAATTTCTCTCCCATCTTCCCATCTCAATGTCCACACTTCCGCCCAATTCTCCAACCTCACCACTTCCCAAACGTCAAAAGACTTCGTCCTCGAGCTCTCCGTCAAAATCCACTTCCGCAGCCGCTGCCACCTCGTCCCTCCAAGAAATCATGTCTTCCACTCCAAGCACCGCGCCCACCACAACTCCAGCACCGGCAACAAACGGTGCGGCCCCAGCCCCCACACCCCTAAAATCATCTACCCCTCCCCCTCTTCTCATTAAGAAACTTTCACCCCGCGCCCGTCTCCCTACACGAGGCAGCGCTTTCGCTGCCGGTTACGATATCTACGCTGCAAAAGAAACAGTTGTGCCTGCCAAGGGAAAGGTTTTGGTGGATACTGATATTAGTATGGCTGTGCCAGATGGAACTTGTATGTTTTTGTCCCCCGCTCCGCCCCTCTCTTCGTTGCATCACTTTATCTTCACGCAATTAATTACCTCGTTTGACTATACTCTGTTCAGATGGCCGCATAGCCCCACGCTCTGGACTTGCCTCTAAACACATGATCGATACTGGCGCTGGCGTAATCGATGCTGATTATCGAGGTCAAGTAAAGGTACTCCTTTTTAACCATGGCGAAAAGGATTTTGAAGTAAAGGAGGGCGATCGTGTAGCACAATTGATTTTGGAGAGGATTTATACACCAGAGGTTACAGAGGTTTTGGTTTTGGAGGAGAGTGTGAGGGGTGAAGGCGGCTTTGGAAGCACAGGCTAGATTGTGAGGAAGGGAAGAAGAAATGAAGTTCGAGGGTAGTTTGGATTAGTGGAGAGTTAGATATACCGTGCTGTGCACACTTTGAGGAAGGGAGACTGTGGCTTGGGAAGGAATAGACAAAATGAAGAAATCTATCGCTGTCTATTATGATGCATCTATGTTTTCAGGATATGTAAAGTGTAGCTCCCCTAGGGTCTAAACGCTTTCTGCTCTGAATTTCACCACTGGATTCTTCAGAAAGTGCACATTCCTAACCAGTCTCACCTCAGCCGCCTTCGACCTGACCAACCCCTCTCTCTTAGAATCCTCATCCTTTGCCCTTCCACCGACAACATTCTTCCACTTCTCAATCTCCTCGTCTCTCGCGATCTTTGTCTTCGCAAGCACTTCATGCATACTAGCCAAAACCTTTTCAGTGGCTCTCGCAAGCGGTAATTCGGTAGCCTCAACCTCATCGTCACTGATCCACGCATCTTTCTCCAATAGTCCTTCCACATTACATACTGCCTCTTTAAATCTCACCAACATGAGCGCTGCAAACATATCACCTGTTCCACTAAAGAAGCAATCAATCGCCGGTATTTTGATGCTAAAGATTCTTGGTTCGGCTGTCGATGTCATAGTCGAGCCTACGACGGAAAGATGGGGTTCCGCACCGGGAGATGGAAGTGAAATGGAAGTGACCATTATATGAGGGATTTTATATACTTCGTGTAATGTCGTTATGGCCAATTTAAGTGTATCCATATCCTGAATTTTGACACCAGATAGTGTCCTGCGAGAGTTAGCTAATTTGTACTTCATTCATCTCTTTCAGAAATCACCCTCCTAGAAAAAAAGATGGGTGCCCTACTCAACCTCAAACTGATTTGGTAAAATCAAATCCGCATCTTTGATCAATGCTTTATAAGCTGGCACCACATCCTCCGCTACATATAATTTCCCGTTGTCTCCCATGACCGGATCCAACACCCAGAAGAAGCTTCCGGGTTTCATTGTAGTTTTTAATTTCAGATCGCGTGCTATTGTGCCAACGGCTTCCACAGATGCGGCTCCAGGCAGATAACCCGAGAGCATCATATTGAAATCGTCGAGGTATGAGTTCTTGAGTCCTTGGTAGAGGTCTGATATCTCAGTCGCGGTAGCGCGTGTGCCTTTAGCTTGTCCATAACCTAGATGGTTGCTTTTCATACACCTGTCAGCCTTTATGTTCATCCGTTCTCCGGGTCGATTCGCAATGGGGCGTGTATTCAGGCTAAAATACTGACTGTACTGTATTCAGAGCAGCAACTTTCGCTCCTAGAGATTGCATGACGAACGTGGCCATAGTATTTCCGACATATCTTTAATAATATTATATGATTTAGTCGACTTGCATACAAAATGTAGAGAAAATTTGTGTACTCATGGGACTCACCCCGTAAACAACCTGAGCAGACAACGTTAGTTCAGCAAAAGTCGCGTAAGGGTGGCCTTTCCTACATGACTGCAAACAGCCAAGAACTCGTGTATCTGGTACGGGGAAATATTTCAGACATCTTGCTTATTTGGCGGAGAGTTGCCTTCGTGAAGAAGAGAGGGACTGTATTTGAGATATTAGATCGAAATGCGCCGGAATTGCTAGAAAGATTGCGAGGGAGTTTCAATTGCGATTATCCAAGTATCTCAAAGACACAGAAGAACTTCAGATACAAGTTTGTAAGCTAAAGGTCATTGCTCAAGAACGTTTTGTTTCTCAATGAAGGGGAAAACATTATCTTATCTTGCTCTAGATTTCATGCTGACGATATGGATAGTGGGGCATCAGGTTTGCCCCGCGCTATCCTCAATCCAGGAACATGCATGAAGACGAGCAAATTTATGTGTGTAAACAGGAGATGACAAAAATGTTATAAGAAAATTGTTCTCCGATTCTCCGAGTGTACCTTATTATTGTTTTTTTAACAGATTCTATAGAGAAATATCAACGAATTGCTTCATCGCATGCCATGAACTGAGCAATAAAACCAATCATGGCACAATTTACCACGACCATTGTCCATATCCATGAACCAACCCACGCGCCATATTGAATATGCTGTAAACTTTGATATCATTGTTCATTAATCCTTTTCGACAACCATACCTACTCGTCATCACCAATCTAGAATAAAACGTTAGCTTCTCTAGATCTGAATACTAGATGATGCATATACACGTACCTTTGGTGCCAAGTAAAATCTTAAGTAACTGCTTCCGGCAAGCTGGTATTCCACCAAAAGAGGAACCTCGTTAGACAAGCAAAGTTTAACAGACTTGGACAAACCAGCAGCCTTGCAGAAGTTGACCAAGTATTTGAGGGAGAAGGTCAAGGAGACCGGCTCGGTAAGCTCGATATCGACGTTAAGATCTGGTTTGTCGACATTGCTATGGCTGCGAAGGGTGACAGCACCATTGCCAATATCTCCAGCACAGGAGAACTTAACACCATCTTTTGAAGCCTCAATCGACACTATTTGGCAAAGAATTAGTATCAACTCTCTTTTGTGAGGGGAGGTGAAAACGGGGACACTGAGACATACCAGACTCGGACAAAGCCATGAGATCGACACAGATTCTCTTGAACTCCGAACTTGGCATGTTGATGACTGCCGCATATTCTGTATCAGGGATACCCAAATGTTCTTGATCGATATCCATCAACTTTAAATCATATTCGCTCAAACGATCACTTTCACTGCTCTCAAATACTAAGTTCAAAACATCTGGTGCATCCTCGGCCTTGATGGTGAGGATATCCTCGTTTTGCGCAGCTCGTAGAACCTTTGTGAGAGAAGTGAGATTGACACCGAGGGCAACATTGCGGTCACATCGATAAGGGGAAAATCCTTCAGCCTTCAGCATCATCGATACGAGCGCAACGTGCGAGTTATCCATAGCTTGGAGCGCGATTCCTGAATCATTGCAGTCGAAGTTGCAGTCTTGAACGAGATCTTTGATGGCATCGACAACCTAGATTATACAATCAGCATAAAAGAGGATGCCGAAGATTCTTTTCTCTTACCTTCTTGAGGAGGTCTGCTTGTTCGAGGCGGGCTTCTAACACTATTGCATGATTAGTATTGTAATGTCAGAGGGTGGAATACTAAAATTGTAACATACTCTTAATGGTATTAAAGTCTGCAAATGCAAAGAGATGAGTATTAGAAGCTTATAGTGAAGTTGTTTAGAGAGCGTTGTTTTTGGAAGGAATATTCTGGATTGCAAAGTTGATTGTTTGACTTTTTGAGATGGAAGGGCCGCGACGCGGTCTCGAGAAAACGCGTAGAGTGGTTTTTTGGCTGGTGCACAGACCTTGAATACAGGCCAATCACAGCGGAACGAGCTTGCAAATGAATTTCCACCCTCGCTTGTGGAGTATCAAGTCCAGCTAGAGCCCAGTACGATTTATTCTGAAATCCGATTACTTCGAAGTCATCACGGGTTATCTTTTGAATTCTGATACCGATGCTTTAAAAATGACAAGCTAACTCTTGATTAAAAAATACAACATGAGTATTCAGGTTCCCTTAGCATAGCTAGCCACACAATCCATCATCTAAGTATTCTTAATCTAGCGTTAGCAATCAGACAGCTATACGCTCATCCAGCTGCTTACTTGATTGGCATGAAACTTCTTTCTAGACACTGGCAAGCTATCATGTTCACCTCTAGTCAGGGACTCAGCAGATCAATCTTTCTGGGTGTTGGTTTTTCTTTTTTTTTTTTTTCTAAAAAAAAAAATCTCGCTTTCCAGATACCGGTGAGCCATCATTGTATGAGACTTTACTCACCCGAATGTCTCCTCCAAATCAATCTTCTAATTGCTCGAACTCTATTCGTACAATCCCAAAATCGCTCTCAGATCACAACTATTGCCTGGCCAGTACCAATAAATCATTCTTCTGAAAGTTTAGATTTAAATCATACATTCTATAGTTTACCTGGAGTCACTCTGAAAGTCATGATTTTTGACATCAAATACACATTCACAGCAAATTGATTGTTTATTGTTCGAATTCTAAAACTATTTTTGAGCCACAATTTAACCTGTCCCTTAGCATCCTCCCCATTGTTTGATTGACATTCGGACATTCAGTTATTTATCGAAGAGGTCATTCATATCTTCTAGCTTACATCCCTTTGTTTCTGGGACATAAAGCCATGTCCATACACCAGACAATGCACAAAACCCCCCGAAGAAGACGTACGCCCCCCAATTAGTATATACTACTAGCGGCGGCGTTATCAGACCAATGATGAAATTGTTCCTAATTGATTCAGTAATTGAAAATCTTCTGAAGGGGTACCTTCGCTAGTTAGACTTACAGCCAATTAGAGCAAGTGCTTAGAGCGACGCCTTTTGCACGAAGATCGCTTCGAAAGATCTCCGATGGCATTGCCCAAGGGACAGGGCCCCAGGATGCTCCAAAAATCACCATGTAGAAGAGGAGAAATGCTACACTGACCCAGGCAGCTGCTTGGTGGGTATGCCAGTCATAAGAAAATAGGCAGACCATGACAGCTATCATAACATGGCTAATAGTCATAAAAAACGAGCCTATGATCAATAAGGGCCTTCTTCCATATCGATCCATTGTAAAGAGACTAGAGCCTACACCAACGAGCCTATGCTCGGTTAGCATACTAGCTTCAGGGGGTAATCCACTGTTCCCAAACAATACGAGCATTCAGCAGGTAAGGAAAATAGACAAGGGCTTACTGGCAGATATTTAGAACGCCCGACATGATAAGTTGCATCTCTGACCCTAAGCCCATTCTAGCAAACAGAGTTGGAGAATAGTAAATTAGGGCATTTATACCGACGAATTGTTGGAAAAACATGATAAGTATACCAATGTGCGTGCGCTTAATAGAATCCGACGCAAAGCAGTCTCTCCACAAAGCTATTTCGAACTTCATGGGTGAGTTTATAAGATTTTCGTGTTTCTGTAGGTGAATATCTCGAATGTGCGAGACTTCGTTGCGTATATGACGTGCTTCTTCCTGGATCCTTGAATCGGTTTCTGGCAATTGTCTCAGCTTCGATAGGACTTTCAAAGCCTCCTCATCACGTCCTTTGGAAGAAAGCCATCTTGGTGAAAATGGAAGGAAGTAAACCCCAGCTCCCAAGAATAAGGCAGGAACGATTTGTATAAAGAAAGAAAGGCGCCAGCCCCACTCGCCACTTAAGTATCTTGTGCCGAAGGTTATCCAGAAAGCAACGACGATTCCTACAACAATGGAAAGCTCCTCTGCATGACTAGTTAGCACTTTGATTGTATGAATTGTACTGGACAATTGAAACCACTTGCCCATGACGAGTAACGCGCCACGAATTTCGGGTGGTGCTATTTCCGCGATATATATGGGCGTAACCATTGAGAGCATACCAATACCAATGCCTCCCACAAGTCTGGCAATGATAAGCATGTTGAAGTTGACAGCCGCAGTCTGCAAAATGCTTCCCAATAGGAATATAACCACAGCGATTATTATAGAGTATTTCCTCGAGTATTTATCGGCAATCCAACCCTGGTTTAGAGCCCCGAAAAAAGCCCCAAGTTCGATCATAGCTGTCAAAATTCCCTTCCAAAAGCCGCTAGAGTGAGGGCCTATACGAGGAAAATCCAGAACGAAGCTTTCCATGACAAGAACGACAGAGACCACGCCTTGGTCATACCCTGGAAGGAGTTAGAACATTCAGATAAGTTGGGACATTCAAATGTTGTGATTGTTTGTAACAAAAGCCAACAATTAAAGGGTCAGATTGTGTCCGTACCAAAGAGAAGTCCGCCAACCGTACTCACAACGGCGGCCCCAGCAACGTAAGGTGAATCGATAATGCCTTTGAGTCCGCTCTCAACGTAGGGACGATAGGATGCTTCCATGTGCTCTTCTTGGTCATTTGGAGTAGTATTCGAGTATGCAGAGTCTTTGGTCGTTTCAGGTATATCGGGCGGGGCTAAAGATGCCATCTTGTCATTTGCAGCTTTTCAATGTACGAAACAGTCCCAGAGATTGAGAATAAGCCGAATGTGCTGAGAAGTTTCTTAGGGTTAAGAGGATGTGAAGATGAGGTTTCCATCGACTGCCACCATTGCCAGGTCACTCACTGAGTTACAGTTACCCTGCATCGTGCTTGACAGTTTTTGTTCATGCCAAAACAACGTTTGATGAAAGTGCGACCACATACCTAGTACCTACCTACTTGAAGGCACAGGAGATTAGAACCAATGCTTTTGATCGAAACGAATCAAATGCGCATGTCTTTGCTCTTGATTTCTTCGCCTCTAAAGATTAAATTAAGAGGTGTTAAAGCATTTAAATGGCTCTGTTTGGATCATTTGCTCTTTTCTTTTCTTTTCTCTTCCCAAGAAAACAAAATTCAAGGGCGATTCATTTTTTGACTGAAGTATGGCGACAGCATCATAGACTCCTTCCTGCAGCTATGGCTAGGTAGTCATGAGTAGCCCACAACCATCTGATTCATGCGGGTCGGAGGGAAATTTCCCCATGATTAGGTTATCTCCGTGGACTCGAGAGTCGAGAATTAACCTTCCAGCTTACTGGCGACTCGAGAGATTGCTTCCGAATTCCAATCGTGATTGAAGCGCCTTTCAAGGGTTTTACAAGGTCGCAGAGATATAAAACTATTTTAAGAAACCTCATGGCTTAGCCCACCCATCAGGGCCTTTGGATCCCCACCTTTTGTCGATCAAACCAACACAACATCAACCCCTCTAGGTAGATCATTTACGACACACTAGGTACCTTGTATGGTGTTGCATTTTGTAAAGTGTTTGCAATGAAGGTTGGCTGCGTATTTTGTTAGGAGGCAGGGAAATTGTTGTAGATAGGTGCACAAGTACGATGATATAATTGATTCTTCAGATTGGCTGTATTGCCTTGAGACGGTATAGTGGAAGCGCCGTTTCGATTGATAGGACAGAGGGGAAATAGATAAGCCACCATGGCCACCTTACGGCCTGTACCGAATCCTCATCGCATCCTACCTTCGAGAACGGGGAACCAGTGCGAAGCTCGTGGTGCGAGCGATCATGATGATCTGAGATCAAAATTACCGATTGAGTTCTGTTATCGTAGAGATGCTGCTTCAACGTTGATATCAAACAATCCGGGAATCCCGGTTTGTTGCATCGAGTCTCGTAGAACATTCCCTTGTGATTGCTACATTTCCATGGGCTCCTTGATCGTTTCAGACAATTCCCCGCCGCACACTTGCAGTGTACATGAGGTATTACACATACAATACCCAGTAAGACTGCTCAGCTGAGACCCATCGCACACTATACTCGATGTAGGCGCCCTGTACCAGCATGGATATGTTCTCTGCTCGCTTCGAGAAGGTGTAAAGGTATGTGTGTGGATACGTTGTTCCGTTGGAAATGGGGATGCTGATCAAATAAGGTCTGTTGGTTTACATATGCCACATGGTTTTGAAGATATTGAACCAGCTTATCTCGTTGATCTCCAAGATAGGAAGGATATTTTGTTTGACATGTGCTGGGAATGGAACTAGACCCGGAAGATTGAGATTGTGAGATCTTCTGGGTCCTGGAATGACTTGAGACGGAAAGAAGCGATTGGAAAGAGTGAAATATAATGATTTAGATATGAGGTTGATAAAAAACTTCGATTGACCAATTATTGAAAATTATGCCGATTTGGTATTTTTGCGAGTTTCCGGGGGTCGCTCTCACTGTTACGCCATTATCACATCAAAGTCGCGCTATTGAAATCGTTGTTGAATTTGCTGAGGTTATATTCGTAAACTTGTTTGATTTCGTACGTGAAAGGTATCGTGATCGATGGGGTCGGGCATAATATTAATTTGCCTTTCTGACGGCGTATACTTTTCTTACCTTACTAATTACTTAGATGAAATGAGTGATACTTTTCTGGTAAAGTTTTTGAGACATTCTAGAGACGATGTAATGTCAGAATGTATCGTGGTGGAACATACAACCATATCACATAAGCAGAGGTCGGAAAGCTGGTCAAGCAATTTGAATATTACCTTTTTTAGAAATCAGCATTGAGCATTCAGCAATTGCTCGTTTGCACAATACCAAGATACCTAAGGACAGGGTATTCCTCATACAATCATACTCGAAGAGGTACCTGTACTCAAGTATATTCACACACATGACGAGGTTACATAGCAGTCAAAGTAGGTAAGCACTTAGAATGTGAGAATGCAACGCTGCCAACGAGCAAATTGGAACGAATTACGAAAATCAAAATGAGGTAATCATTGGGGGAGGGGGGATTCTGGAAGTGTTCTATCTTGGCTAGCTGCAGGTATGCGGGTTTGAACAGGCCGGGGCTGCAGATACTAGCCAGGTCAGGTAGTGGTGTTGTCGCTCTGTGTTTATTTTAAGTGTCATGATGAAATCGAAACGACCACGGGATATCCCTTCTTGAACCATTGAATGAAAGAACTTGTTTTGGTGATGATGTTTCGTGATGGGATTCGTGATGATGCATTGGGGACAGCGGGTGATTTGTGAGCCGTGCGGTAGGTTGGTTCAGCATGTAGATTTGATGAGATCTCTAGGTCAAGGTGGCGTAATGTCTCTTTTTCCATCGTTTACCATGTACCATGTACTGCGTGAAGCATTGTTGGACGGGCGGGACAAACACGGTGTCCAAATCCATATTGTATCTTCCGTATATACCCAAGATAGTAGTATAGTGATTACAATGAACTAGTACCTTCCAAATTTGGATCTTGAAACAATCGAAAATGGAAACATGTGAAGTTTGAAATCATCAGTAATATCTTAAATGATCCTTTGAGCCTCTTTCCTTCTCGGAGAGTCGACAATAGCTAATTGTACAGAGCCGCGGTGAGGCGAGGCTAGAAAGTAAGAGTTCTGGAACCTACTTACCATATATATATATGTTTTCCTCGCTAAAACCATCAATTATTCAATTTTTAAAATCCTTGTTTAATTGTTTATATATTTATATAAAATAATTAATAAAACTATAGAGTGATTTGTATTTATTCAAATTATTATAAAAATTAGCTAATTTATTTTTCTCCAATGTATTTATAAAGTTATAAGGTATAAAAGACAAAATTTATAAAAATTTCGAAAAAATCGTTTATTTTGTATGGGAAAAGTATTACAAGTTAAAAAAAATTGATTTTTTCAATTTCAAATTTATGTAATTTCTTAACAAAAATATTAGAAAATAAACTGTTCATTTTTTTAATTAATTTATAATATGATTTATATATAATTCAGTTTTCGAAATAAAATCTTTCAAATTGAAAACGCTATTAATTTTTTAAATTTATATAGAAAAACGCTATTTTTATAGGGATTTTGTTACAAAACCATATGGGGTGCGGTGAGTAGGTTCCAGAACTCTTACAATGTCGCATTTCCAGCGACGGACAATTAATCCAAGAATGGGATTCCTCGATTCCGGATCTCGGGTTCGTGTTCTGTTTGTTCTATTTTGAGAAATTCTCCCACCTTCGAGTATTCACCGACACTGCCTCGAGAACCATGTTTCAAATTCCACATACTGTATGAATGCAATCAAGGTGACATGTTCCAAGTGTGATGATAATGATTAGACCATGAACTTTGCCCCATATTGCCGTATCGCTTCAAAGATGTTAAATTACAATACTGCAGCCATATGCAGGTGATACTCGTCGAAATTGATTAGGTCCAGACGAAGTAATAAGATGTTGATAATATCGATACCTAGTATAAACGAGGCCGAGGTGGAATTCACATTGGATAATCACCTCGCCGAACGATGATTGGTAGCAAGGAGGGCTAGTAAGCCTGTGAGCGATGTGAGATTTAAGATGGGCATGATTTGGTAGCTCTTACGATCGCACGACACGACCCACCGAAAGGTAGTGTGAACGTTGAGTATGATAATATAGATGTTGTATCGTTCAGTGAAAGTGGAACTCATGAAATCCACATATTACCAAGTATAGATCTTTTCCACAAGGCAACGAGATTTTGGATATTAGCCCCGCGAGCATGTCACATAAACTAATACTGATACATAATAGCGTTGTAGATTTTATCAACCCCTACCATTGTTAAGCGAACCTGTAACGCGGTGGATATGAAGTCTTCGCGTGTTCAACAAATCAACAATCTATGCGACCTCTCGATGGAATTTAATCAAGCCAAAATTACCATAAGATATTCTCAGCGAGGCTGCCGCTGGCTGCTGAAATCAGAATATGAATATCTTACAAAATTAAGATTACATATACCATTTTATAACATTTAATTACACAAAAACACCAAACAGTACTACGTCAGCGAAGTACTGGACTGTATCTTGCTCGTGTGTTTTTCATCAAACATGACATGCCGTGTAGAAAACAGATATACGATAATGGTGATGCAAACAGAAATAAGACACTACCTAGGTATGAAATGAATTTGCCGCTTGAGAGCCTCGGCTACCTAGGTATCGAAATGAGAAAAGTCCATCACTTGAGAGATGGGGGGGACAAGCTTGAAATGAAAGAGTTCGTTATTTTTAGCGCGCCTAACATGTTGGTATGGAGATGCCGCAGATTTCAATCAGGTATAGTCTACTTTCTTAATTGTTCTCCTGTCAAGATTGAAATTTAAAGTACATTTTATATGGAGACAATGGTGACTAGTTAGACATGCTTGTGTTTATCAGACTGGTGCAGCAGCGGTGCCATGCTCATGATCCCTGGCCTTTTCACTCAAAAAACGTGGGTCTGGCTGGAGAAAGTTGAGATGGTAGGGATAGTTGAGATGGAGTAGGGATCAAGGGGGAAAGCAACTAAAGAACCAAAAAGCTGTTTCCATCTGTCGGAACTTTGTAATTGTGAGGTTACCATCCAATTTTTTATGCGGTTGATCTGCAACTTACCATTGTTGGTAGTTTTAGTCTGTACCCGTCATTTGGGCACGCACCATTATGGAACTTTCTTTTAATCCCTTTTCTTGCCTGCCTACACTAAGATTATTGTTTTTGCCTGATCACAGTACAAGGCAAGCCTCTCCCAAATCTTCAAGCTTGCGGTTCGTTACAAGATGTCATTGACGGCATATGAAATAATATCGGAGCATTGTTAGGTTGTGTAAGCGCGCGCAATATCTCTTTACGTTGGTCAAATTTCACTTCCTTCGTTAAAGCTACGATATACTATGTCTACTACATGCTACCTAATGGAGAATGATTGCTCGCAGATTTCTGGTGTATTTTCGAGACTAGCTTAGAAAACGTTAACCGTGGTGCTGGTCTGCTACTACTACTACATAATAACAAACTGTCAGATCCATCACGAATTAGGCTAAATGTTTTGTGTTAAAAATTACCCGCAAGTTTGGGAATGTCTCTTCAGCATGCCATTCAGATGGTAACCTCGAAGTAACGACAATCAAATTAGAATCTAGGCGGACATTTTACATTTAACTGGTTTTTTTATTACCGAAAGTTGCTTCATCACAGATCCCACTTCAATGCACCAGGAAAAAATCACTCAGACGCTGGATGGTTGTTCAATTAGAATCACCATTAATTAAATCTGGCTAGTTCACATATTATGGGTCCCTTCAATGGTCTCAATGGGGTCCGTGATGAGCGGCGTAGCCCATGATTGAGAGGGGAAAATCTCCTGTGCTCCTGGTTTAACTTTCTCATGGTGTGCCTCGTCCTTTCCTTAGAAAGCCCTACGGTCGCGCTAATTTTTCCAAACGTTGACGTGCCCAGATGAACCCAAAGTGCGGGTGAGTCGCTCTGGCGCCTGTTTTGTTTTCCCCCATCTCTTCACACAAGCAGCTCTCAGGTCGAGGGGCAACCATGTATGACAGGGTTCAGAATCCTTTGAACATGTCCCCAATCTGACCAATCACATGCTGACGGGAGCAGCGCTAGAGCGCCTTCCACTTACATGCTTTAGGTACTTTAGAGCCTTACTCCCCTTGGACAACTTGAGGCGAAGACCTTGATTTAAGTGCCTCCTGGAATCCCTCGAATAGAACCAAAATAGGTACATCACAACGTCTATTATTCCTCATCAAAGCCGAGTTTATAATCTCCCCAGATCCGAACGTAACGTCAGTCTATTTCGAGTGTCTCATCTCTTTAAAGCTATCTGTATGTGCCGCCATTACTAGTCACAGCCTTCTTATCCCCTGCACAGATGGATTCATCGTATGTGGAGCACAGAGACTCACGTCAGTTCAGGTCCCGAACAGACAGTCACCTGTCGTCAACTACAACGCAATTTCAAGGTCTTCTTATTGAGACTGACCCCGCCACTTCCTCAAACCACCAAGTTGGTATATCTTCATCAGACTCAGCAACAACAGCTACCACACTCATTACTTCACCGATACCCACATTCCTTCAACAAAAATCTGAATCTTCAACTGCCACTGGTCTATCGTCACCAGCCTCTCAGCAATACACACCATTTCCGATCCTCAACAAGAGTGAACTTGACACAGACTGGTCCTGTATCACGAATTCAGAAGCACAACCAGGCAACTCACTTGAACTACGCATCCATCCAGGGCAAACGTTTCCTGGTACTGAAAATCTGGAATATAAACTTCCCATTCATTCAAATTCACTTCCAGCAACTATGTCTACTCTTGGTATTCAGCACTATGACCCACGGTTTGATGCCGGTGCACGACCATCATATACTTGGCCTCGTATGTATTTAAAGATTTTCTTGAAAGTATCAGGACTGACTAGAGTAGAATTCGAGATGAACGAACAATTCATCCAACAACATGATTTGAGCCCACATATGAGCCCACATATGAGTCCTGGACAACTATCACCATATAACGAGCTTAAGCCAACACCAATATACGCACGAGCCATTTCAGACAGCCCACCACGAGCAAGTCTCACGGCTGAACAGAGGGAACTGAAGCGTCAGCGCGACCATGCAAGGAGAGAAACAAAGACGAGACAAAGAAGGGAGAGATCTTTGAGCAACCCATACGCATCAAACAGAACAACACCAGACATGTTACCACGAACTCTCCCAGATCACTATTCAAACCCTAATTCGCTCGCTCCAACTCCACTCTTATCACAAGGTCCTTCTAATCATGGCCTCCCCAGTCCATCTTACCTCGCACCATACTCGCCACAAGTATCTGTGACTGATACTACATCCTCAGACATGTATGGGCCAGTTTTCACAATGGGTCCAAATGACTATACACCAATCTCAGCGTATTCAGCACCATACTCAATGGGAGGCCCTGAAGGCACCCTTCCTTCATACGCGTATGTATTTTCCACAAAAATGAATTTTCAATTCAAATCATCTAATTAGCAATTCCTAGTCCTAGACCACACTCCCTTTCATCGGCCTCCGATCAATCTAGCCTCGGCAGTATCTATGTACCACACACACACTCGCTTTCTCCTTTGACTCCCCTCTCCTCGATATCTCAACCTTCACCCCTCGAACCTCGCGATCACGTTCGTGTCGTGCAATCGCGACCCAAGCCCCAGTGTTGGGACCATGGCTGCAATGGTCGTCAATTCAGTACCTTCTCCAACCTTTTGCGTCACCAACGTGAAAAATCAGGCGTAGCAAGCAAATCATCATGCCCCAATTGCGGCGCCGAGTTCACAAGAACTACTGCTAGAAATGGCCATATGGCACATGAGAAATGTAAGCAGAGAAGAAATTCTTAAGCTAGCATTGCCGTACTGGTTTTTTATTATTTTCGACGCAGAGGCGCGTTTCATTTTCAGGGGCTGTGCAACACTAGGCGTGGGTTTGATTTATTTGGGGGCTGCTCTTCTTCATCATTTACTTGAATTGGATATTATATGCGATCAGACGAGATAAGACGAGATGAATAGGCTATGAGAAAGAATGAATGAATTGTAAGAATATCGGGTACCGGGTCATCTCATAATTTCATCGTCACACTCATCACCATCATCATATTCAGGTCTCTGGGATAAGGAAGGAGTTAAATTTAGAGCTGCCACTCGTTGCATCTACTTATTGGGGTTTTGGTTAGGTCTCTTGTTTTGGCTGGAGAAAGTTATTTTTCGGTTTTTATGTATATGGTCATCTACTTCGTTTCTCTACACTCTTTCAAGCACTTTTATTTATCCGGCTATAGCGAGTCTTGTTTTTTTGGGAGCGATAAAAATCATTTTTGTTTGCTTGTTTGTTTTTGTTTCTATTTTTACTTTGTACTGGCTTTTCTGGTCTGGTCTTGTTGTCATCTACAATCTGCAATGTTATACCCCCAACTTCTCCTTAGAAGCTATTAAAGAGGCATTGTCAATCGTTTTGTTTGGAATCAATCATGGGATCATTATACCAGGTATACATTGGGTATATAGATTAAATGTATTATGGATTTGGAAATATGAAAAAGAATTAAGATATCAAATTATTAAGACTGAATGGGCAATGTTTTTGGTGTATTTGTATGTAATAAAGCTGTAGTATGGAAACGTGGGATGCGAATTCAATTTTCACGCTTATTTAGTCTATTTTATTTGATATCTCTCTTGGGCTGAATGTGCGACTTGCAATGGAGAAGGCATTGACTGATTGATTAAATGATTATTGCCGGACTCTCGACGAATCGACGAGCTAGCTTACGAGCTCACGAATCAACGAGTCAATTGGAGAGGAGGGTAAGAAATAAGTGTCGAGATAATGAATGCTGAAGATGACTCTTACAGTCGAGCGGAAATGTAAGAAGGTGTCAAGTTAGCAGTGACGAGTCAGGTTCGTGAGTACTACTCGGGGTCCAAAAAATGCGGTAAACAGGTTGTGGAAAGGGGAGTTGGTTCTGAGTTCAGCCAGTGGCGACGAGGCGTTTTCTTTGGCAATGCTATAGTCATTACATTGCAAGCTGGATGATTAGTCTGTGTGTACTTTGTGATTATTAAATTCTTACTTTGCATTTCTTGGGGGAGACACGACTGTATTCATTGGTTTCGGTTGGGGGTTGGGGGGAGGTGATATTGAGCAGAGATGCCCCTTGATTTGATGTGCGACATACCATACATCATAGCATCACGCCTCGAACCAATCTGCAGTGTAGTCGTATGTGATACCTACACAGCTTGAATAATCAGATTTCACTCGCATCAAATTGGGCTTGGAAATTCCAGATAGACGAGAACTGCACTCATTAATTGTCCTTTGCATCTGTTATCGTTGCCGTTTCAAGAAATTTTGTTTCCATCGTGTACATAATTTCCCCAAATCATGACACAGCCCCTTCACAAATAGCAACAAACAGCTGGGCGAGTTCTGCTAGTAACAACGCCTCTACATCTCCTAGGCATTTCAGATCAGGTGGATGCAGCATCAGGTACAGCACGTTTTACATACTCATGAAACGCAGAATGGCAAGCTGGGCGGCGTAGAGAACGACGTTCAATTTGCTTACATGTGCTACACTAAATTAAATGCTACATGTGCATACATAATGTGCGCACCCATGTGTGTGCATATTAAACAGGCATGGCATGTGGAATTCCTGCAGCGTTTCCTTTAGCAGTCCTGGCCTGATGTGGCCACGGTGAGATTTTGGGAGGCCAGGGGAGTTGAGAATATCCCGGTTTGCCATGCGTACAAGCTGTCTTCCTTGCCGAGGGAAATCATACATAGAGGACCAAAAGGGAAGGGTCAAGTATAATCGCTGATCTGGGATTGGGGGGCCGGTAAGCCTTGGTTGGCTCGTTTGTCTTACTATGTTGCATTGCAGATTGAGGTTGCAGCACAACGTGGAAAGAGTTATGCAGATGCAAAGAGTGAAGGGAATAAGGAATTAAAATCTCATGTTCTTTTTGTACTGTAGTGCATCCGAATCTGAACGGATATGCAAGTGCGGAGCGATGGATTGTATGTGATGTTTGTTGTAAGATGGTTTGCTTATGAAATTGAGAAAGATGGTGTTTCATGTTCTACTTTTCGGAATACGATGGCAGATTGAAACTTACAACAGTGCAGGATATGCTGTGCGACAAGAGGAGAAAAGGATAAATTGGTTTATTAGGTTGCCAAATTATTGTCATAATAATTCTCATTCGGTAATGTTTTTGGAGTAAAGAAGGCCACTTGGTCGGTTGACTCCATCTTCTACGCTAAAGCAATTGATATCACTGGGTGGCCGAGGTGAACTTTCAGGTAAAAGCTGAATATTCATTGATATTGAATTGTACCGGCCGAGTATGTAAGATCGGACGTGCTGTACTACAACCATCTGTCCCTTATATTGTATGAAGTTAATCTTCATGTTCAAATCCGGTTCTGCGGTGAGATACGATGAAATGAAATGGTAGGCATGTATGTAAGCAAACTCAAGCAAACTTCATACCGTGTACGAGAATGCGTGTATGAGAATGCCCATCTTACGCCAAAATGATTCTCTTCGTATATCTGTTTAGATCTTATAATTTCATTTCTCCATTTACTCTTGGCTTTTTCTGCTTTGGGATTACTGTAAATGGAATGGTGCAATATAATCCTTCAGCCTCGAGTTGCATGGGTTTGCCCCTCTTTCCTAGATGAAATAGGAAACTGCTGATACAAAAATAACGTGTCAGTAATACATGAGATCATGTACCTATGAATACTCCGTTGAGATGTTGAGTCCAAAACAAGTTGAGAATGTTGACAAGGTGATAAGGTAACAGTAACAGGGCATATTGACAAGGTGACAACGTGATCAGTTCTAGAAATTCTATATTCTGTCCCGCATTGTAGATGGAGATTATACCTATGAAACCCGAACCAATAGATAGAAATGGCTAAATTCGAGACCCATATTTGATTTGTCAGAGCTAACCTATAAAACCCAATTAAAATAACACGACTCTGAGGGAATTTACCCGGTCTTAGAAACCTGTCGTTCATCGTGAGAATCCCTTTCGACTCACGACGACTAGGTGTGCTAACGACCCCTGGACCTTTTAACGTGCGTACGGAGGGGGCAAATAAAATACCTATCGATAAAGGTGCAGATCTATTGTGCCGCAACTAGTGCATTAATGAATGCATGTGCAACGTCTCAAACCTTGGAAGTCCTGATTCTTGAGACGATTGACTACATCCTGCATGGCATGACTGTGAAGTTCCAATTTGGTCCATTTTTCTGCATGTCAATACTTGATTTGTATTTTGTACTCGGGCTCGCCGACACTCTTCACGTACATCTATCTTGATTGCGTAGCATCTGATAATTTCGTCGAATGTGTTCGTCCCGGAGTATCAAACAGTATATTTCCCTAGGGGAAGTCGGAACATGCAGTCTACAGATTTCTTCAGCGTCGGAACGAAAGCGAAAGTATTGGCGCATCATCGCGAATGTGATTGCTTCCAGTATTCGACTAGTCCGGGACATGCGGTGAAAGATTTACTGCTTGGAGTTCAAAATTCGAGCTAAAATCAAAAATTAAATTGAACAGACTTCATGGTGCTCATGCTCCTATCCAAAATGCTCTGAATCGTTTCTTCCAAACGTCTACCCAGTCCGAGCTAACAGCTCTCTGCAGGATTTCTAGGTATAAGACAGAAGATTTGCTGCTTCGGGACAATCATCAGAGCCAATTGATTTATAACTTACAGAGGCTTGACTTCTTGCGGGCCTCTCTTCCCCTTTTTCTGGTACACCATGCACAGTTATCTTATCCTACTTTGATTCATTTTGTTCCCTTGCCTAGTATGAATTATCATCTCATTTCGTGCTCGTTTGATTCCATGACTTGTACAACTGCTGTTCTTCTGTGTTGAGTTCAAAGGCAACAGAGACACAGGTATATCAATACGATTCTCTTCCAAGTTCTAAGGTCTCAATGGTACATACCATTGCAAGTAATCAGAGCTTTGAAGAGATTTCATCAAAGCAGTATATGGCCATTTATAAACTTACAAAAACTGGCTCAAGGAGTCAATTTCAATGTTTCGGAAAGTTCACGCAAGAGTAGCAGCCTGAATGATATCAAACCATAGCACCATAGTTCTCAGGTTTCATACTTATATTGGGTATACGTCCAGAATTTGCAGTACTTCAAATCTGGTGACCCATATTTTTTTGTCAATTCTTTTGAGTTAAATCATACAAATGAGCTGGGGGTTGGAGTGAGCCATTTGAATTCATATCAATAAAGCATAATTTTGATATGGCCCTCTTCTACGAGGTGTCTCAAATAATTCAAAGCGTGTCATGAGATGCTCAAGTGATGGCGTGACGTAGATTGCCTTTGGGCTACTCCCTCAAATTTGCAATGGCATCGACATGTCACACTCCTCTTCCCAACCTCCGCATTGCCAACTTGTCAAATGATCAGAAACAACAGTTAATCGTACTAGAAAATTATGAGTAAACCTTCCTCGTCCTCATACATTGACTAAGAACTTTTCTATCTTTTCTGTTCCTTCCTCTGCCTTCTAAGACTAGTGTTCTAGTATTCCCTCCTAGCATACCTTGGCCTTCTGGAATGAGGGGAACATCGTAAATCATTCTGAAGAGAAATAACAAGTATTACTCTCTGAAGAGGAATAGAAAGGAGCAGTGAAAGTTGTGTGCAGAAACAGGAATAATTAGAAGGAAATAGCATGGCGTATTCCAAAGCGAGGGGATCTTAAGAAAACAGACTTGTGATCTCCTATTTTAGTAAAGTGAATCTTGACAACGAGATTCGAGTATCATTTCAATGTGTTTCAAGGTTGTGTTTTTGAGTATCCGTGGCATAAGGCTGGCTTCTATTGAGGAAATGGCCTTGTAGCGTATAATGATTACTACAAAAGGCGTGGGAAGCAGAGGGTAAAGCATAGTATCAAATTAAGTAAGATACCCGCCTACCGGTAGTAAGGAAGGTATCGGTGGTGTAGAGAAAATATAAGGTTATCATGGGCCTCCTACTAGTCTTATTCCGGACTAGAGACTATGCACCTACACAATACTTATTTTTCAACGTTGTGGTTTCCAAACTTTGTATTAATCGTAACTAATAACAATTCAACCTTACTCTAATAAGTGAGAGTTTCTAATTTACCGATGCACTTTCCCAATCTCATGCATCCTCTCCTGTTCCCTTTTTCTCACCTCATCCCTCGCAGCAGTCCCATCTTCAACCGCTTCCAACGCATGCTCTATCTCCGCCTTCCCAGCCTTCTCTATCTCAATCCTAACCTCATGGTCCACTATCTCCCTTTCAAGCCTTTCCTTCTCCACACCCGCCTTGATACTCACCTCCTGTTTCAAATTGCTCAACGTCACCTCCATCTGCGCAAGCGTCGTGGTTCGTTCTGAAAGCAGATTCTTCAGCTTCTGCACCGTCTCTGGATCGTTGTGCTCTTGTGCAACCGTTATCGCCGCGTCCATATCCCACTGTGTGGTGAGTTTATCCTCGGTAGTCATCTCAACGGTGGTTTCTGCGAGCAGGCCCTCGAGATATTCTTTCACGTCCCCCTTTTTAGTGTCTTTGGGTAACGTCTCAGCAAGATCGTCTTGGATGTCGGGAAGGAGCTTCTGAAAGAATGACCGGGCCCGTGCGTGGACTACCGAAGCCCCGGTACCGCGCCAGGCTAGTTCATGAACCAGCTCTTAAGGGAGGACAAGTTTTTCGGATCCACTGGAATTGATTATCTCCATAATCTCCTTGGTGACGATCTCTTGCTCACTTTTCTTGAGTTCGAGCAGTTTCATCTCCGTGATCCATGGTTGAATCGCTTTTTCGTAGGTCTTCCGTACTACCTCTAAGGTCTCCTGCGATATGTGATGCGCGAGGTTAGTCATTGCGAGACTATAAGACGGCTGAAGTAGGGCGCTCATGTTGATAATGCGACCGCCATCTCGGAGACCGCCTAGAGTACCGGGAGCTATCGGCTTGGTGCTGTCGAACTTTGTGGGGTCAAGTAACGCGCAAGCCTGCTCGGGAGTTATATTGAGCCAGTTGATATTTTCAATTTCAATTCGATTCCCTTTCTCGTGTTCAGCATTCTCTTCATGTTTTGTATCGCCAAAGGGAACGAGGGCGCCTAAGTTGTAGGGAATATGGGTAATTCGCCGCGCCATGGCGAGCCCTACCGGCGTGGCACAGGTCATTCCCACGGTACAGATTAATCGGCGCAATCCGGCTGCGGGAGATTTTTTCCACATGCTGAATAGAAGACCAGTGTAGGCTCTGTCACGAGCTTCTGAGCCGAACTCATTTTTGTTTATCATGACTTTACTCATCTCAACCAATGTCTCGCCATTGAATTGCCACAAGACGTTACTGATGGCCTAAATGTGGCAAGTCAATTAGTATCCCCGGGAAGATTAGGCGACAGAATGGAGTTTGGGGAAGGTGTTCACAATTGCTTACCCCGTTTGGTTTGTCAGCGAGCCAATGACCGTCACCAGTTCCATACACCACGTAAGTCACTATTTCAGGATTCTCTCGATTGAGTTGGAGACAATGAGTAGTCTGTCCACTTAAGCTGTGGTTTCCCGGCAACGTGATGGCCTGAACTGTGACTAAAATTCTCCCATCCGAGAACTCTCTGTATCCGAACTGGGCAAGATCCACCATGTTACCACCGATGTACGCAGATAGTTGAGCTGTGGGAACTTTCTGTTCTGCCATGATCTTATTTATAACCGCATCGTGGCCCTGCTGAAGCGCAACCTTCTTGTCTGCCGCTATGATTGTTCGATCCAGCGCGCAGAGCCCGGGCCCGGCTAGCTCCTGAGCAATGACAGAGTCTTTCTCTAGGATATAGACCTCAGGATATACGCTCGACCAGTACATCGCTAGCCAAAGGCCACTTTTCAGATGCTGTGTGAGATTGACGTCGAAATGGAGCAGTTGTCCCCTCACGTAGAAGTGGCCTTCTAGGCCCCCCTTGCCTTCGTATGCATTAGGCTCCGCTTCAGATAACAATTTGGCAACTTTGTCACAGATTCCATACGAGAAGTTGTGAGCAGCATTAGCATTGCTAATAAAGATATCCGATAGCTGCCGGTTCGAGGGCGATTGTCCATTGTTGAATAGTGCAAAGTACTTCGAGGTGAAGTCGTACAATCCGGATGCCTCCTTGCATTTCGGTTTGTATGGACTGCTTGAAAAATAAATTCTGGGCTTATTTCCCAGACTATTGTTAGCTAGGCTCGCTGTGTGATGGTAGATCTTCTTTGAGAACATGATATGGATTGGGTAGTTTTGGGCGGAGAAGACTCGAGAGAGAAGGGCAACAAGCTGGGAAATCTAAGAAATGAGTTTTGGGCGCCTGACAAGGTAGAATGAGGATTCCTTCGAGCCTTACTTAGGTTCTTATAACCCATTCCACCCATGATGCGGTACGCTTCATGAATAGCTTGAACAGATCAAACGAACCCATCGCCCTTTTCCGTGGTTCGTTTTCAGCTGAGCTAGAGACAGCAGCCTAGGAAACGTCGTCTATCGGAACACTACTCAACACACTCCTAGTGTTGCAATTTTTGTCTCGAAAAATCAATATTCCCGTCACGAATTAGGACCCTGCAGCGAAAAGTCGTAGTCTTCGTCTCTGCGCAAACTCTGCATTATGCCCTCTGAGACAGACCCCAGTGTCGATGCTGGTGGACTTTTCATCACAACGAGCACCGCTGACGAGACGATTTACTATGTCGCTTATCGCTATGCCTTCATACGACCCGATAAATCCCATGACGATATCATCAGAAAGTTCCTCCCAACAGACACATTCCTGTTTGATGTAGCCCGGGGTGGCAATGTACCTAAAAAGATTGTCGTGGTAGCGGATGAATTAATATTTGTCGGAAACTTCAAATATTGCTTCACTGGCCATGATATTACCATTCGGTGCCGCAAGCTCATATTTATTCCCCGAGATGATCAGCCAGTTGAGATGGATGTATCTGGCCCTGATCTTCCGGCCGATAAGTCAGTGGGGGCCAATGGCGCTGATGGCGACAACGGAGAAGTTGGAACAACGAGTTATCAATACTATGAAAAGAAACCATGAAGTTTATTCATCAATTCACAAAGAAGACCCTACCTATGGACGACAAGAAGCCCAGCCATCCAGGCTTGAACGGTGGGGATGGATAGCATGGTGTCGATGGTATCCAGGGCCATATGGGCTGCAAGTTTGAGCTGAGCTTCAAGGTCATTGATGTACCTATCAACAGGGATAAATCGCGCTTCAAGATTCTTGCAAATGGCGGACAAGGAGACGATGGCGGCAAAGGTGTGAGGGGTGGCTCTGGAGGAAATGGAGCAGCTTCTGATTACGACAGACAGGCTGATGATACAGACATGCTTAAACAAAAACCAGAATGGTATAAAGAAGTTTACTCTGGCGGCAATGGTGGGAAAGGAGGAAACGGAGGTGCTGGTGGCACCGGAGGCAATGGCGGGTTCATAAAAATATGTAACGCTGGAATCCCCGAGAAATATCGACAGTTATTGGTGGCGATTTTCGATTTACAGGCTCGGAAGGGCGTAGTTGGAAAACCTGGGGAGCCGGGCGACGGTGGCGGCGGCGGGACCTCTTCTAACAAAGCCGATATAGTCATCTTTTACTTAGCAAGTAGTTCGATTACTGACACACCCAGTCAATTTCAGGAGTGTGCTGCATATTGGCACCCTGACCATCTTAATCCTCAGACTGGGTCTGCTGGTAGCAAGGGCGACAAGAATATGGCTACAACAGAAGGCTCAGATGGTGCTACTGTATTCGACTACCTGACCGAAACATATGAGACCAGCTTCATAAGAGATACTTTCTTCTTATATTCTCTGATTAACCGCATGTACTTTGATGCTCACAACATCTTCAGTAGCCAGAAGTATTTGCCCGCAGAGACGTCGCAACCAATTGACCCAAAGAATTTCCAAGGATCAGAAAGCGATATTATGATTCTCAATGCCCGTAAGGATTACTACGAAGTGTATAACTGAGTTTTTGCTGTGGCGAACGCAAATTCTACCACCAACAAAGTCATAAAGCAAAAACTTGACGTTTTCATTCGCAGTAGGGGAGGAGGTGCCGACATTTATGAATTCACCCCATCCCACGTGTCCAATTCAAGTATAGGCACACCGAATATCGATTCGATCATGGAGCTGTATAGTTCGGTTGAGAACGTATTTTCATCGGCTATGACTCTATTGAAGGAAACATACGAGCTCGGGATGAGTTAAGGTCTAAGATTCACGGGATGAAGATGAAGGTCGCTAATACCCATCTGAAGTGGAATAAAGAGATGAAGGAACACGATGATCTTCATGAAAAAGTGTTGGCAGCTGGTGAAAAAATAAACACCACGCACAAGACACTGTTAGGTGCGACACGGAACTTGGAAGACAAGATCCAAAATGCAATGCACTGCGACGTGAGTTGGTTCAAAGTGATCCAAGCACTTGCAATTGCTCTCATGTTCTGCCACCCTGCTACTGTGAGTTCTTCCTAACCCCTCTTTGACGTTCAGAGTTTTATCTGGTGTGTTTATTCAGTCGTGAAGGGAAGGAAGTTGACCACAGATGATCGCTACCTAGGCACCTTTTGCAATCGAGGGAGCTATCCTCAGGGTTGGTGCTGAAGCATACGAGGCTTCCAGTGACAGTTTGACTACCATTGTTACGGACTCAGGCGCCAAGATAGACAAAGAGATTTTGCTGAAGCAAATGTCAGTTTCGTCACAAGGTGGCGATGTACTCGCGAAAGATCTCAGTGATAACATCAAGAAAATGAAAGATTTCTCAGCAAAAGCTGTGAAGCTGATCGCTGTAGAAAAATAAAAGTTTGACAGAATGTGTGATGAGCGTCTGGGTAAGCTCGGCGGATCCGAAACTGAGGCTGGAAAGGCTGCCTTCGCCGCCTTCATCGATGCCGTGAGCGACCGCAGTGATATTTTACAGAAATACAATCTGAGCATTGTGCGCCTAGCAAAGCTTCGACTTGAGATTGTTGATGGCAATGAGAGTCTCGGGATCTTCGAAAGTGGCCTCCCATCCGTCTCAGACGATCATGTAAGGCTCGCAGCTGAGTTCCTCAAGTCTGCTCTATCTAGCGTCTCGCAGAAAACCTTCCGCTCCCTTTACGAGTTTTGGCGCGCCCTTAATTTTGCAACGCTTGGGCCAACGACCTTCTACGAATCTTGGGTAAAACCCAACACCATGCAGACCTTTGGTGACCTCAAAGCCGATATTCTCAAGATTAATTACGAACAATGCCTCGAAATCGATCAGAAAGCCTGGTGGAACCGTATCAAAGACCACCCCCGCATCAATGAATCTATATCCGTCTCCCTTACCGCGGAGCATCAAGCCGAAAAACTCTCTGCTCTGGTCAATAACCGACAGATGCTGATCGACCTTACATGGGAAAAGGCCCTCAAATACGGCTTCAACCCAAAATGGTTCGATATTCGTCTGAAAGGGATTCAAGTCTATCTATTTGGCGCTCGTGTTGATGTTAATAAGCTACCCCTCGAGGCGCGTGGCTCAGCCGACGCCGATAAGACGATTAAACTTACCCTCGAGAGCTCGGGACACTTCAGATACATAGACGAACAAGCAAAACTGCATGAGTATTCCATGCCAAGCAATACTTTTGACTTCAATTATAAGATCTTGAAGGCGTCAGAGGTAGGATTCCCGACCGGTCGTAAGATGTGGTATCCGGCGCACAAGTCGGAAGAGCATCCGAGTAATAGTGACACGGGCGTGGATGACGCGATTGCGTATGAGATGATGAGCTCTTTGGAGGAGGGGGATAGGTTTGATCTGGCATTGCCGAATCTGGGGGCTATGGAGAAGTTTCCTCTGCAATCACCATTGGGGGCCTGGACTGTATATGCTGATCCATCAGTGGACCTGACAGATGTGACGGAGGTTCATTTTGTGTTTGATTTGGCACTAAGAACGTCGAGTGGTCGCATTGTATGAATAGATATAAATATAGAGCTGTAGATACTTATAATCATATACTCCTCTAGTAATGTTAATTAATTCATGATATCATATTTTCAATATAAATATATAGCATTACGTCAAACCTATATCGAAACCTTATCAAAAAAGTACCGAGAATCCCAAAGGATATTGATCTGGATAACATACTTACATAGTATACTCATTTAGCCTTAAGGAATTAGAGATTGCTTCTGCTATTAGCACGACTCAAGACACAGTTAGCTGGAAAAATGGTCAAGTCGTGTTCAATGTTGAAATTATCCAAACGAATCCAGATATTTCGATAAACATCGTCCATCAGAATCCTTTCCTGGTTCATCTTAGAACTTGCCATTTGCTGAAAAGAGTAGAGATGCCGAGGAAAGTGAAACAAGCAGAGTTGCTCCTATTCAATACCTGTCTGTATATATTATTTGAATTTCAACGAGCATTTGAAACCCACATCAGCGATGGGAGACAAGGACTCAGTGAAGATGCCAACTGGTTTCTTTCTTACGCCGCAAACTTCTGGTGTGAACATGCTGATATATTAGAAGAAATGGAGGATGATATGAAACGATCCAAGTCTTTCTTAAATGAGGGGCAGAAGTAGTGAAGGTAGAGGGACTATATACACAAACCTCCTCCAGCCTATCAAGAACCATATAGATTAGATGAAATTCATTGACGATTCAACATATCATATTTCTACCAAACATACTAGAAAGTCCACACAGGCATAGCTCAGATAAAAACAAGGTGTGGCACCGATTGGTACAAGTACTTGAGGCCTCTGCGGCTACTTTGAAGCTCAACGCCCTGGAAATAAGTTACCGCTGAAACTCGAGGTTGCACGTTGTATTGATCCGCTCTTGGTACGTTCAACAGGAGACTCATTAGAAGCTCTTATCAAGCAACCAGCCATATATCTTGTGCGAATGACGAGCTGGTCAATTAAGCTTTTGCTTCTCGAAAGCTAAAAAGAACATATATTGTTGAAAACCCACTTGTACCTGGCGTCCAACAAAATACTTAATGTATGTAAGACGGCAGAGCAACACGAAGAACGATGATTGGTTTGTTGCCAGAGCACATATCAGAGATATCAAAGATATGAAAGATAACACTATCGTGGGGGACTTATCTACTTATCTCCCTACAAATATGATATGAAACCAACTATAAAGACGATGGACCCTGAGGATCTCAAGACAGTGAAATGATCATCTCCGCGGCCAGGAACGGATTGAAGAATGGTAATTGAACCCATACATAACTCTGGAATAATGTATCTCGAGGAACAATTATTGAATATGCTATAATCTATTGTTGCCACCAATTTTGCAGAGGTACTTGGTCTGGTGAACACATCTTCTCGAGTATGCATGGTTACTACCGAAACGGGAACGGAAACTCGCACAAAACACTAGGTAGGTAACCTTAGGTATCTATTTCTCAGCCGTACATCGAAATCGAAAATTGTGACAGCGAGAAATTCCAGACGCGAGTGGCCGCGGAGAAGGAAGATACATATATATCACAGATGCAGCACCGACAATCTCCTCCATTTCTTTTTCACAGCAGAACCATCAGAACTCGAAATTTTCCCCCACAATCCTTATCTCCAAGGTGGGTCGATTCCCGTTCTCGGCTTCGCTAAGCCTCGTCAAAGATAAGAAGCGACGACCCGACGACACGACTTCCTCATTCAAGCGTTTCTCTCCCCTCCAGGACCTTCAGAGCTGCCTCCAACCAGTCTTTGCTTGGTGATGACACCGATTTGTTAGATTTTAGCCACCATCATTGGCTATTTTGAAATTAAGGTTTGCTTGCGCCGAGCTTCTTTTAATGAGTGTCCATACACATTCAAATCATGGGCGCGACAATTCATCTATGACGGTGCCTGTGATTACTCTCTATCAAGATAACCCCAGGGCACTAGGATATATGCTCGGGGAAGCAAATACATGATGCTTAGGAGTAAGAATGCAAAGACGCCGTCTATTTCACGGCATTGCTTTCGCGAGCATTGCTTTCAGCTCTCGAGTCACATGAATGTTGGAAAGAATTCACAATCCAAGTAAAAGTTAAGACGTGGTCAACATTGTCCCTCAACATTCCACGGGTTACTCTCGAGAGAATTTTCCCGTGACAGTATTGCATATTCAATCATATCAACCGTGTACAAACCCCAAGAATGATCTCGACCCCGACCTCACAAACATAGATCTCCCACTCCAACCCATCACCTACACTGCACCCGGCTCGCAGCTTATCTATCAAGCACAGACGAGGTGTTCCGTACCTGCGCCAAACATCTGGTCGACCTTCGATCTGCGCAAGGAAGCGATCCATGGCATTATTAACTCGCCCTATAGATTCATCCTAAGATTGCTCTGCCGGAGATGCTTCAACTACCAGTGGGCGAGCGTCACTTATCTATGATCTCAGGCTATATCATTTCATAATTTATATATGCGTTCGATTTCCTTATTCAGATGATCAGCAATTTATAACAATCTGTATCTACTCGAGTTGAGAATTCAAAAATTAGTCGTGTTCAGAAATAATCCAGACAGAACGAGTCTCAATTGACAACTCTCTTCTCATCTCAAATTTTATACCAGCTTTGCCATGTTCAAAATCCAAACACTCTGGCAAGCGCCAGAGATCAACCCAGTCAATGGGAAAGCTCGATCTATCCCCGTACTCAATCCGTTCAACAAATACGGCAGAGTGTTCTTCTTTTCCTGGTGGGGCTTCTTGATAGCCTTTTGGTCCTGGTTAGTCATCCAACCCCCCCTTTGTTTATTATCCTCACATCACGCTAATTCTTGTATCAGGTATGCCTTCCCGCCATTGGTATGATCTAGTTCTATCGCTTGTCGTTCTTCGCTTTCTGACCTGTTCCAGCTATCTCTCACAATCAAGAAAGATCTTCATCTCACTCAAAATGAGATTGCAAATTCCAACATTATTGCTCTTGTGGCGACGTATGTATAATAAACTGCATGTACAGTGTTTATTCAAAATACTAACACTCACCCTACAGACTCCTCGTCCGATTAGTCGCAGGCCCATGCTGCGATCATTTCGGCCCCAAGGTTACATTTGCAGGATGCTTACTACTCGGAGCCATTCCGACTGCTCTTGCCGGCACCGTGACGTCTGCAACCGGTCTTATGGTCCTCCGATTCTTCGTTGGTATACTCGGCGGTTCTTTTGTTCCATGTCAAGTATGGTCCACTGGTTTTTTCGACAAGAACATTGTTGGTACGGCCAACTCCTTGACTGGGGGTTGGGGAAATTCGTAAGTAACTACCTTGACATACATAACACCCCACTTAGCAACTATCGCATACTAACATCTGCTCACACAGTGGAGGAGGAATAACTTATTTCGTCATGCCAGCCATTGTCGACTCTCTGATACTGAACCAAGGACTCACTTCCCACGTCGCCTGGAGGGTATCCTTCATCGTCCCCTTTATTCTCATAACCACAACAGCCATATCGATGCTCATCCTCTGCCCTGATACTCCAACTGGCAAATGGTCAGATCGGCACCTCGCCGTCCAACAAAATCTCCGAGCTCACGGCATACACAGCCCCTCGGACAATATAGTATCCGTCCCTGGCTCAATCACTGACCGCAAGCCTGATAACATCCATTCACCCACCGATCCCGTCTCATCCTCAAACTCTACCTTCGGCAACGAAAAACGTCTCGAAGAAGAAGCACAAATCGCATCCGCCAAGCATAGCACCGCAGAACCCTACAACAACGAAGCTCCCCTCCCTCCCCAAGAAATGCTTACTATCGCTCGCGGCGAAGTAATCCAAAAACCCTCTTTCAAAGAAGCCCTCAACGTAATCCTCACCCCACAAACCCTCCTCGTCGCCTCTTGTTACTTCTGTTCCTTCGGCGCCGAGCTAGCCATCAACTCCATCCTCGGCTCCTACTATCTCAAAAACTTCCCCAAACTAGGCGAAGCCGGAACCGGTCGCTGGGCAGCCATGTTCGGTCTCCTCAACGTTGCTTTCCGTCCTCTAGGCGGCATTCTCTCCGATCTTCTCTATCGCAAAACAGGAAACGTCTGGGCGAAGAAAATTTGGCTACACACTCTTGCCATTTTCACCGGCGCCTTTTTGATCGCCATCGGACTCACGGATTCACATAGTCACTCCACAATGTTTGGACTCGTAGCAGGCATGGGACTTTTCCTCGAAGCAGGCAATGGGGCGAATTTTTCGCTCGTGCCCCATATCCATCCATTTGCCAATGGAATCATTAGCGGTGTCGTTGGCGCGTGTGGAAATTTGGGAGGAATCGTATTTGCGATTATTTTCCGCTACGAAGGGAAAGATTATGCGAAGTGTTTTTGGATTATTGGCGTCTTCACAATTGCGGTAAATGTAGCAGTGTCGTGGGTAAAACCTATTCCGAAGGGACAGGTTGGAGGGAGATGAGATGGGGTCTTTTCTTTTGGATTAGTATTTTCCTTTCTTGTTTAGTATTATGTCTTTGAATTTTCGGCGGGGAAAGTATATACCAGTAGTTCTAAATTCTCTCATGAAGGATTAGAACTGACGAGGAATATTGACGGAGGAAAAAGTTAAAATATACCAAGGAAAAACATCAACTCTGGATAGCCTTCTTAATATGCAGCCAGCTCATCACCGTGATCTGCCTCCAAATTCGAATGTCGTTTAGAACAAAGATTGAAGTCAACATTAACATGTCTTTTCTTCCTCTTCTCTGAAAACCATGGTATTTATTTCACGCCGCGTCAAGTGTTAGATGTTTTTCGCCAAAGCTCAAGCATTCCCCTTCGCCATGTTTTCAAAGCAAAAAGCATTTCAAAGTACGAAATAGATTTCATTCGCCCTACCATGTCCGGATTCGTCGATTTGTCCGGTGTCTCCTAATATAATTGACGAAATAGCCATCCCTCCATGCAACCATGCATGCCTGTTCACATGATATACTCCGTGTAAAAAGCATCCATCCTTCCCATCCTATAATTCCTTGCACTTTAGCTTTTGAAGTGATGTCCTCCCATACAAAGGAAAAAGAGAAACGTGTATCAAGTGTTCGCTTCTCCGTATTATATCGTGTCAACATTCCATATTGCCCCATAAAACCCCATGCAAAGACATATCCTATCCCTATTTTCATACTCTCCTGAGTTATTAAATGATACTCCTCGCAACCAGCGCACGCCTTCAAAGTCTACCATGCCTTGCTTTAAATATAGCAACCTTATCATCATAAAATAAGATTTCTCTTAACCTCAACCTCACCTTCCCCTTACCATCACAATCACTGGCCCCATCCCAGCTGTCTTCGTCGCTCTCACCGTCGTCATGTTCATCACTATCCGATAGCTCATCCTCTGTTTCGTCTGGATCGATAGGAGCAATAGCCGTCCCATTATCGTCTTCCTCTTCGTCCCCTTCATCATCATCATCTTCTTCATCACTCCCATCATCATCATCCTCCTCCTCTTCGTCATCGGTTACAGGTCCGCCGTTTGCAGCTGATGTGTGGGTATCATGTGAAGAAAGTAATGGTTCCTCGTGAGGGCGATTTTCCAGTATCTCGAAACATTTATGCGATATACCTACGTAGCAAAGTTCGACTTCTGGGCGGAGGAAAATTACGTCAAGAATCTGGTGAGCGAGTTCTTTGGGGTCGAATGCGGGTGTGATGTGGTCGGCGATGAAAGGAACACTGAGAGAGCGGAGATGGGGTACTTGAGGAAGACGTTGAAGAAAGTGGTGCTAGCCATTATTAGATATTGCAATAACGATGCAGTAATTTCATATTGACGAGGTTCGAATTGTAAGTCAAAGGGTTATTCTGGGAACACTTACCCAGTCTTTATAGTCAATTGCAATACTTAATTCGCGAAGATTGCTCATACGGCCACTAGTGATGAAATTCAAGACATCACGGTTGGGCATCCAGGCTTTCCATTTGGTGGATTCGACTGAACTATTCACATTCCTTGGAGGTCTTTCGGAGCTATCCAACAATAGCTTTTTAAGACTAGCACGATGTCTCTTGAGTGGCCCCCGATAGATGGATTCCTATGGTCGCGTCAGCACTCTACTAAATACTCACACACATATTGAGCTTACGATTGTCACCGACGAGTTTGGTGCTCGTTTTCTGTCTTGCAAGAATAGTGTTTCTAAAGTGTTTGGCGCCAATGTTTCTTTCAAAAAAGTTATCAGAGAAGGAGATGCTGCGTCAGTATGGATCTTTTTAAGATTTAGATGATATAGCATTTGTGTGCTATGCTTTGTCGAGGTATGATTGCCTAATGGCGAAGGCGCGAAATGCTTTTTGAGTATGGACCAAAGCTTATCATGGTGTGGACAGTCGAGAATAGTCAAATTGGTCAGAACTGACCAATCGAAAGCTCTGTGCAGTACATAAACAGATAAAGGAACTCTCTCCAGTTCCAATGTCTGTAAGCGTAGTTTACCCTCAAGTCTGTCTCTACCAGCGGGGAAAATTTCCGAAAAGTGTGCTTGTTTTCTATTCGATGATTGAGAACTTCGCAAAGGAGGTTCTGCAGGGATATCGGAAGGTACAGGTGGTTGTAGTATGTCATTGACCGTAGTATCGTTATCCGATGTAAGTTGATGTTCGGATATCAGCGCGGTAAGCGAATCCATATCAGAGTGAGGCGATAATAGAGTGCTCGAAAGGAAATCTTCATGGCCAGGATCAACATTATCTGGAATGGACTCTGCTTCAATATTGAATTCTACTCCCTGTGGATTGAGTGCACCTGACGCTACTGGAATATCTTTATCGCTCCAGCTTGGCTCCGTATAATCATTTCCGGCTATTTCAGGAAGTACATTTTCCGCGGCGTCGATGCTACTTTGTTGGGGTTGCACCTGGCTATTCGCCAAAAAAGAACCAAGTTTTGGACCCTTTGTCCTCTCACTTTTTATCCTTCGTTTGTTCCGGATATCGAAGATGCGACCCAGAATAGTGCCTAGTACCCCACCTAATCTTCGCTCGCCAATCTTACTGGCACCGGGCCACTTCGCCTCGTGATCAACCTGTTGGAGCTCAGGCCCGTCCCATGGAAGAGCAAAATCGCGTTGGGTGGCCTTCGCGGAGATACCGACACGAAGTTCCCGAAGTTTGTCCTTTGAACGCTCTATCAAAACACTCATCTCGTCTAGATAATCTAGTTCGTCAATGTCCAACACAGACAAGCTTTGTAATGGAGGGAGTACGCTAAGTGTAGGATACTCCACACGACCTTGTGAATATGCCATGGTTTGTACGGGAGCCGACGGAATCATTGAAGAACCGGATGGTAATAACCAGCCTATCGAAGTCATTGTCTTCCCAGCCAACATTTGATTCGTAGTAGTAGATGGTGTGCTTGGGTTCTGTGATGAAGACATGTGAATAGCTTCGGTATTATCATGCCACCTGACCCAAACACGTTCTAAGCGACATTCTTGTTTTGGACTCTTGTATTGTAAAGAGGATAGAGCAAGCCAAACGTCTCTCAACACCCCTGTTGGCATATCCCAAACAAATGTTTCTAGATTGATCATTCTCGCCACGGCCAACGCAACAAGCGTGCCTAACATCTTCCCACTTTCTTTAGTTATGAGGTATTCCTGTACCCAGTCGGTAGGTCCGTTTCCAAGGGAAAACTTTCTAGTAAACTGTGGATATTCATTACCGACCCGCCTAGGGATGCTAGAGGGCTCCGGTTTGGCCTCATGGCTGCAATCTATAGAATTGTCTGTTCCGCAATGCTTGCAAACAAAAGATTGTGTCGAATTTGGATTCGTGAAGGCATTGCCCATACAGAGAGTAGAAAGTCCATAAGTAAGCGCATCGACTCCGGTCCTCGGGTCAGACGTAGCATGTGCATCGGGCCAGACGATATCAAACCGCGAATATATATAAGGTATTGCTAAATTATGCAGAGCAGAATGGGTGAGGGCAAGAGAAGTTAAGTCATTGGTATGAGTAACCTAAATGTTCCATCAGCTTTGAACGAGGTGGCTGAAAAGTGAATCAATAGTCTACCTCCTTCACAATCTCTTTGAGAACGTCCATGGGCAGATCCAATAATCGAAGAGGGCCATTCCTTTTCTCCACTACCGCAGACCATTCTTGTTCTTTATCCTTTGGTAGTAGGCTGGAAATTTTAGTCCTTGCATCGATCATAGCCTCGTCAGCCTTTCCGGAAGTTGTTGGTGTAGCCATTACACTACCGGAAGCAATAATGTCAGGTAACAAGGAAGTATCAAATGATTGTGCAGCGGCGGAAGTTCTTGGGCCAGAAGGGGAAGATTCATCGGATTGTGATACAATATCATCGAGTTGGGGATCAGGAGGAGGAAGGTGGCTTGTCATTGCGTTGTAGTATTGAGATCTGAGTAGGTGGACTGTATATAGAATCGTTCACGGTGATGGTAGTAAGTAGTACTTTCCCCTCGTTTGAGCAACCAGCATAGTTGAGTGACATGTAATAGATTGATCATATAATGATGTGAGTCTCTGCGATCAAACCATAATTCTCCGTTGATAATTTTTGCCTTTTGGAGAAGGGGGGGAGGAATTAATTGTTTAAGTAGATGGTATTATTAGGTGGTTGAAGTTCGTATATACCTAGATGGATAGCGGTACAATGAATGAACCTTATGGAGTAGGTAGGTGCTTGAGAGGTCAATGGATACAGCCAATTGCGGCATCGAGCTCATGGGCCACTAAAATAGATGCCTAATGGATGATTTTCAGGCACCACAATCTCCCTCCTTACCTACTAACTAGTACCTATGCAACGCAGGTAGGCAATATTAGGTACACGCGCTCGGGACCCGGCCACTATAGAGTTCTGCTGAAGACCTGGGTACCTCCCATACAGAGTAGCTGGAGGTATATAAAGTGGTTTCGTATTTATCACAGCAGAGTAATTCTCAAACTTCACTCTCTATTTATATACTACCTAGGTACATATATATACTCTCTATTTATACCCATTTATATATTCTCTATTTATACACACATATATACCTATGCTCGGTAGGTACTCCATTTTGTTATATAAACAATCTAGATATACGTAGAACCGATTATAACCACCAGAAGTCTGAGATCCCCATACGCATAAGAAAGGGATAAGGATCCATCAGATAGATAGATAGACTACTGGGTACCTAGGCATGGAAAAGAGACGATAATACAAAGATACGAAGTTTCAGTATTTGTTTTTTTAATATCAATGTAGGGGGGAAATTGAATAACAAAACATCATCTGATTCTGAATCGTTTTCGTTCCCCCCATTTCCAATCCACAGTTTCTTTGATATATATAGGTACCTACCTACCTATATATATATTGATACCTAGGTACCTACTACCTACTACCTACTTTCACTACTACAGAATAATAATAGACATCAACATTAATTCCCCGGTTGGCACACATGTGCACACACCACTTCCAAGAAACAAACTTGGAACTTGTACTTGTCTCGAGCTTGTCTTGTCTTGTCCCTCAAAAAACATAAGCAGCGCGACCACCACCCGCACACTCATCAGATCAATTTAAAGAGCATCTGACACCCTGGAAATATAGATTACCAGATTAGCGACCCCCTGGAACTTAAGATTCTCTCCTAATCGTCAGTCCTGCGTCCTCCCATTTTCATGGGCTGGCTGCCATTTGGCCTACCGTTGCCTCTTACGCCTCTCCCTGACATCTACCATAAAAAAAGGTTACCTCAATACCTCATTCCCTCCTTCGTCCTGTGCCTGTTTGAATTTATTATCGCATTTCATTGTCAAGATATATTAATGTTCTTACAACCATCGTACCCAATCAGAGAGTTCTACAATCTGAAATCGCATACCTAAGCATTGGGAAAAGATAAATCTGGTTTCCTAAGGACATTGAACGAAGACTTGGTATCCTCCCCCTCAAACCTCCCTTCCTCTCTGTCTACCTGTCGCATAACTGCTCTTCAAGGGGACAAGATGTCGTCCGCCTCTCGAACTCGCCCCAACCGTCGGGTGAACAGTCTTGCAAATAATGAGCGCATGTCTATATCTCGAAATAGTTCTCGATCACGACCGAAAGCTATTGGTTATACCGATGCATACACATTCGCACTCAGGGTTGCATATCTGCACCACCTTCTCCAACCTCGACGAAAGACCAAACAATACATCCCCGCAGAGAGAAAGATCATTTCGAGGAAGAGTGTCATGATAGGAGAGTTGATGCAGGATTTTTCTCTTATGAAGGACACGAAGACCAAATTCCCTCATGGATTTATGTCGCAGCTAGAGAAGCGCTTGCAAGGCGTCTTAACAGGGACGGAGAGGCGCCCAGAATACAAGGAGCCGGCTGTCAAGAGAACCTTCGCAGAGGCCTATACAGCTCTTACTGAACCAGGATTTCGAAAGCGTATGGACAAAGAGAGACGTGTTGAAGACTTGGTTTTGATATTCTATTCAAATACCACTAAATCTTTACAAAAGGGCAAAGCGGCGGATGATGAATCGTGGAAAGCCCTTGTGGATCGCCATGTGGCTCTGTTCGTGAGACTGATTAGTGCAACTCTCAAGGATCTTGACAAGGACAAAGATCGACCCGAGCTGATGAGTCGTTTGTCAACCTTGGAGAATAAGCTATTGACGAATTCGCAAGATCTATACGTCAACTCTTCCACTGCTCCTGGCGGGGGCCATTCCATTGAAGTGACCGCACCAGTAAGCTACGATGTTAAGGATATGCCCATGGCACAAGTTGTTGGAAGAATATTTGGTATGAGTAATTCGGAAGTTCAAACAGACATTGACTTGAATAAAAGTATCTGGACGGAGTCCGCAGCGCTCAATGATCTGAAATCTTACCAGCATTGCTTGAATGCAAACACTAAACGAACTCTACGAAGCGAGGATTTTGACGTTGATGAGGGATACCAGACGTGGAAGAGGTCAGAAATACCAGAACTTTCGGCCATGATTTCGGAGATACTTCAAGCTAGGCCGGATCTTGTTAAGGCTTCCGGCAAGAATAGAGCTCTCCCACCACTCCCACCACTTTCCATGACCACTTCAGGTGCTGAGGATCAAGCATATGCAGACTTGGCTAAATCTATAGCTATAACAAGCCCCATAGATGGAGGCTCTGGTTACAATTTCGAACAACCCGCAGATATGTCTTCATTGTGCCTTGAGGACGATGAACCCTCGAAGATATTTCTGGAAGAGTCCACATATACATTTATACCGACAGATACACGAGCATACTATCGAACAATCTTGACTTATGCCATGACCTATGATCAGATCCATGCTCAAGCTGATGGCGCCGAATCCCAGCCTCTCAGCAAACAGTCTTTAGAGTTGTTGACCGAATTGTGTGTTCGCTGGAGAATTCCACAAATCTCAAGGCTCGTTTTGTTCTTAGATGTCGCAAGCCAAAAATTCTTAGACCAGGAGATTGGGCTTGATGAGCTTGATAGCGCCTTTGAGTTTATCAAGAACCCACCATCGTCTTTGGAAAACAAACGTGCAAGTACGCATACACATACACATACTGCGAGTCTGCCTTCTTTCGATCCAAATGAATGGACGATACATGATTTTGCTTTATACCGTCAAACTTTGACAAGTCTACATGATGCACTTCTCCGTGATCTATATGATCTTCTACAACATTGCTATGAAGCTAAGCCGCCTTCTCCTGGCCCAGTCCTGCTCATCTTAGATACCCATATCAAAAACGATCCCTTATTCTCAACAAGCCCTGGTGGCTACGATACTTATGTCGAACAGTTGATTGAGGGTCTTAAATCTAAAGCGGCAGAAGTGTATAGGGAATATCTTGAAGCAGAGGTTCCTCAAAATCAAGAGGAATGGGAATTCTTCCATGTTGTTCAATTGGGGAAATCTGTCGTAAAATTATGTGAGCGAATTCAGAAAAGATATCGAAAAAATCCCGAAATCATGGGTGTCAATCCTCTGACAATCCTTGTCGAGACGATGTTTCCTAGCTTTGAGGATGATGCGAACGATTTGATCCAGAGAATCTTGCACGTGGCACATACCAACGAAAGCGAAGTCCCTCTACAGGATGGGTTTGATCTATATAAGGAGCTTGTTGAGATCCGCAGTATTCATCACAATGTTCTACCCAGTAGATCCTTCGCTTTCAATATAGAGGATTTGCTTGCTGACTTTGTTTGGCGCTGGATTCGCAGTGCTGATGCGAAAACGGTAGATCTTGTTGACCAAGCTATCAAACAAGATCAATTTCAAGTTCGCTCGGATCATCCTGATCAAACCCCGTCGGATGATGAGCGTCATAGTGTGTCTATCATTGACATATTCCGTCTCTTCAATCAAATGGCTGATCAGATCTTCCAACTAAATTGGGCCGACACGATCCAGCACGCCAAATTCATGACAGCTCTGGCGAAATCCTTTGGCATTGGACTGGCGAGATATTGCGAAGTCCTCGAGCAAAAATTCTCAAAAGAGATGGACAGGCTGTCTCCCGCGCAAGAAGCGGCTGCGTCACAAACAAAACAGGAGAAGTGGATGCAACTGGCTAAAGAGGCTTGGAATAACAAGGAGAAGATAGAACCTTTCCAGTTCTACCCCGAAGTAAGTTCAATATATACAAATGTAGAAGGTCATATCTAATGCAATCACAGTCATTTGTTAAGCTCAACAACATCGAATATGCCGTGCAGCAGCTTGATGCTCTTGAGAAAACTATAAACGTCGATGCATGTGCAGAACTTCTTGCCAAAAACGCACCACCGGTAGAGAAAAAGAGAAGAACTGCGAAATATGTATTTACCATCAAGATCGTGGAAGGCGAGGATCTCAAGGCTTGTGACCCTAACGGCACCAGCGATCCATATGTCGTTCTTGGTGATGAATATCAAAAGCGCTTAGCCAAGACTCGAGTCGTGATGAGAAGTCTCAATCCTCGGTGGGATGAGTCCGTGGATATAACAGTTCAAGGTCCACTAAATATTATTGCGACAATTTGGGACTGGGATACATTTGGTGACCATGATTATGTTGGAAGAACTTCTTTGAAATTGGATCCAGCTCACTTCAGCGATTATATGCCTCGTGAGTACTGGCTTAATCTTGATACTCAAGGTCGTCTGTTGTTACGTGTCAGTATGGAGGGAGAACGTGATGATATCCAATTCTATTTTGGTAAGGCATTCCGATTGCTAAAGAGAACTGAAAGAGACATGACACGAAAGATCACGGATAAGGTACGTTTAAACTCATCAAAAATTCTACAAGTTCATACCATAGACTAACGATCATAGCTTTCGCAATATATTAATAGTAGTCTCTCGCATGAAGCCCTAAGGGGCTTACTATCTCGAGGCATTTCAGTAGCATCGGTAACTAGTCTCTGGAAGAACAGACAATCAATAGCTCCAACTTTGACCCCTCAGGATGTCGAGAACGCTTTAAAGCCACTGTTCAATTACTTCGATGAGAATTTCGCTATCATGAAGCAGACTTTAACAGATGCATCCATGATTATGGTAATGACTCGACTATGGAAGGAAGTTCTCATCGCCCTCGAGAGTCTTCTAGTTCCACCGCTCTCAGACAAGCCATCTACTCAAAGACCTCTCACACAACAAGAAATGGACATTGTTTTCAAATGGCTTGAACTTCTATTCGAATTTTTTCATGCCCGGGATGAGCAAACTGGCGAAGCAATGGGAGTGCCCGCTGATGTTCTCAAGTCCCCCAAATATTCCGAGCTCGCCACACTTAATTTCTTCTACTTTGACTCCACCGATAACCTCATCCGCACCTCGGAAAGAATGGCCACTGCAACCGCTCAACGTGCTCAACAACAACGCAATCGTCTTTCGGCGCCTGCTACTCTCGGTGCTTCTTTTGGAGGTCTTATGGGATCAACTTCAATGCGCAGGAGTAAGAGTATCATGTTGAGCAGAAATTTGGGAACTATGAAAAAGGCCAAGGAGGAGAAGAGGAAACAGGCACAGGCTGATCCGAGTGATGATATGATTCTGAGAATTTTAAGAATGAGACCGGAGGCAACGGCTTATTTGAGAGATAGGAGTAGGCAAAAGGAGAGATTAGCCGCAGCTGCAGCGGCCGAAATGATTGTGAGACAAAGTTTGGCAAGTGGAGGTGGACCAAGATTTGGAGCGAATAATCTGCCTCGGAGATAAAGGAGGCTTGCTCCTTTCAATGGAGAGAAAGATGGGATCTATGCATGACGGGAAGTAATTATGAGTCTATGACAGGAGAGGAGATAAGATGGTAGGCGTTATTCTTTTGACTGAGAGATACCACTGGCATATTTGTTTTGGGATTTAGATATTCTTTATTCCTTTTCTCTGAGGTTTCGGTGGGGTTTGGTGAGATTTTTTTTATTACTTTGGGGATTTGAGCAGAAGATGGGAGGTTTGTGGGAAGATATTTGGGAAAGACAATAGGGATCCATACGTAACTAATTATTGAGATGATCATTTGAAGATCTCGCAGAGATGGTTGTTGTGTGCAGCTTGATTGATGGATTTATCGCTGCTAGGGGTTGGGTTGAAGTTGTGGTGGTTGTGGTGGTTGCTTTGCTTTGAGTTTGGCTTGGCTTGGCTTGGCTGGACGGGACGGGACGGGATGGGACGGGACGGGACGGGATGGGACTGAGGTGGAGGGGGGTAATGAAGTGAGGGTGAGAGTGAAAGGAAGGCGTAGTGGCTTTGTGTATATATGTATGTAGGTTAGGTATATAGAAATACTGAGATATTAATTCGAGAAATATTTGACTTGGAAAGGATTGTGCGTTTTGTTGGCTAGGTGGAGAAGGAGAAGAGAGGGGGAGGGGGGTGTATAGGGAAGTAGATAGGTATATAAATATATAGATATATATATAATTGTTGGATGTAACCTGTAACCCCTTAGAACCGAAATCAGATTATATTTGTAATTTTTACATATATATTAGATATATATACATACTAAATAAATAAATAGATAAATATTCTTTAATATATTTTACTTTATAATATCTTAAGGAGTTTATTTATCTATCTTTTCATTTCATCTCTAATAATTTCTAAATTCATGATTTTGATTTTTTTGATTTTTTTGATTTTTTGGAATTGAGATGATAAATAATGGGATAGGATGGGATAGAATAAGATGGGATTATCGAATCGATGAATATCAAATACGCAAAGAGGCAAAAAAGTAAAATAGAGAATGAGAATGAGAATTCGATGCTAGGATGTATATTGGGATGTTTGGGAGGAGAGGAGAGGGGATAACTAGTAGATTTGGAGGTTTGGATGTTAGGTAGGGCTATTGTGATTTATTGATTTATTGATTTTTTTAGAAAAAGATTGGGGGGGGGATATGGAAATATGGAGGGGGTGGGCAGGTGGGATTTGTGGGATGGTGTGTATGGTGTGTATGGTGTGTATGCGATAGCAAGTTAAGGTAAGGAAGGTAAGGGATCTGTATTCTTGTAGCGAGAAGGTAGAAAGAAAGAAAGAAAGAAAGAAAAGAAAGAAAGAAAGAAAGAAAGAAAGAAAAGAAAGAAAGAAAGAGATAAATGTATCATAGGGAGGGAGGCTATTGGGCTCGTATGGATGTGATCGTTGGGCTGGAGATGGAGGATAGAGTTTGGAGTGTTGAAGATATAGTATGCGTATGTGTATCAATGTGCCCAATGTGCTATAAGATGGAGGGTGAGGATGAGATGAGATAAAATGTTTGATAGCAAACTCGCGGATAAGATTCCTCTATACCTAGTTTCTTGATATACTATACGGGATGCGAAGACTCAACACCTGTACGCGGTGCATCCTACGAACCTCCAGCTCTTCTTCAAGAGTCTGCAGAGCTAAGATTGAGTCGCAGATGGAATCGGAAGAATTGGAAGAAAAGGGGTTTGAAAGATATAGAGAAGGAAGGATTATATTACGATTTTGCAACAGCGATCCCTACGAAAAGATGAATACCAGCAAAGCAACGCGGATACAAAGGTTATAAAAGCCCCAGTTAGATTCAACATCTGCCTTTTATTACTACCTCTACAAATACAATATGGAAAGTTAGCCTTTTCTCTCTTTTGGAAAAGTCTTTTCAATATAAAGCTCGTCGCCGCTCTCTTCGAATTACAACCCTTTCTCTCTCTTTAGCTTTCAGCCACTCAAATACGACTTTACGATACAGAGAATGCCATCACCTTTTAATTAATTCTATATTCTGGGCATCGATACGATACAACGTTTTTCCTTCGATTTTCGAATTTTCGAATTTTTCGAATTGATTTGTGTGTGGGTTGTAGGGCTTAGGGTTCGACTTTACCCCACTATTTTCAACAGTTTCGATTATACACATCTAATAAGGGCTGGAGGATATCAAGCTTATAAAGATATACAAAGGGCTAGTTTAAAAGAAATAGAATTAAAAGAAGAGTAGTGCCTTCTATTTTCATCTCACTAACAAGAGGACCTTTTGCTATACTAGAGGCAACTCGGGAGGGAATAACTCTTGCCCCTTATAGAAGGAAGGGATAGCAAATTGGATTCCAAGTTTGAAAGAGAATTGGATATCGGGATACTTTAATAGGATTAGGGATAGGGAAAGAAGGAAGAGGGAAAGATCCCAGTGGATGAAGACATTATATTTCTATTTGTACTCCGAATAGAGATCGGGCAGAGCACCCCAATATTTGTTTTTACTCCCCCAAAATTGATCATATCTACTGTAGATATTCACTAGCATTGCTAAGCTTTTAGAGCCTAGCCGTCTTATATAGTCATGGACTGGAGCGGGACGTTAAACTAAATCAATCAATCAATCAATTGATATACTATACTGTACTGTACCGTGCTATACAGAATATAAAACCACCATGTATATATTTTATTTTATTTTATTTTATTTTATTTTATTTTATCCAAGGAACAAGCGTCTCAGGCTCTATTTCCAAATTCCCTCCTGACAAATACAAATCATTTTATAATATACATATATATATATATATATACGAACGGGCGGGATATTCACACGGTAAGTAAGTACTAAGTACCTAAACCGGTCTGAGAGCCCAGCTGATGAGAGAAATAAATGGAGAAGTGCTATCTGTCTATCTATCTATCTAACTATGGATAAATAGGTATGTCGATCTGCAAAATACACATACATACCTAACATATTCGTTCGTATACCGGTACCGTATGTCCTTCGTACATACATACGTGCAAAAAGATCCGAAGCGCCGGCCAACTCGTAGGCTTAGCCGAGCCTTAATTATGGAGATGCGAGTGGGAGCGTGCTGGTTAGGGGATAGTGTGGTTAAAAGTAGGTATGTTAGGTATGGATGTTAGGGATTTCGGACCTCGCTGGGCAGCTTGGGCAAGCGTGGCGAGTGTGGCAGCTCGGTGCTAAAATAGGTAAATAAAGGGTCCACTGTACCAAGGATTTTAGGACCCTGAGATTTTTGGGAACTGGGAAGGGGAAAAAAAGAGAGGATTGACTCGCATTTTTGGATGGGAAAGGGTTTTCAGGGTTTGGAGGGGTTTTGGTGTGTTGTTTTTCGGATTTGAGGGATTGAATTCGATTGGAGAATCTTTTGAAAGAATTGGAACGGAGAAGGCGAAGAATGACTTTCTTTGTCACTGACTCGCTCACTGGTACTGGTGTTTTGTATGAGAATTTCGGTAATTGTTTTGGTGACAAAATTCAAAATTTGATAAAGAAACTGAATTTAGATCAGCTCAGGACGTCATAAAAGCCAAGGAAAGAGAAGTATGAAAACTGGAGCTTCTTTGAATGAGGCTCATGGAGCATGAAGCGGCTCTTTCATGCCATTCTTTGCTTTGTTGGCCTCGGTTTTGCCGTGTGTGTGAAGAAGCTATTGATGGACGGGATGGGTTAAAGCAAAGCAAAGAAAAAGGTTTCGTAGGGTAATATGTCAGGATAATATGTCAGGATATCTTATTAGTAACGGCAACGGATTCTTGAGCCTTTGAACCAAAATCCGTACGGTACGACGGAGTACACAGCCTCCGCATGGATTTTGATAGGGGGGTTGAGTTGATGACCATGCCATTCAATGCCAATCAAGACCGGTAGGTCCGTAGATGGTTCCCACTCATGCCATTTGCGCATGCAGATTGCACAATCCCCGAAGTTAAGCAAAAGACGAACTATTGGTGCTTCACATTTCGAAGGCCGCTTTTTGAGATGGGCAAAAAGGAATTGGAGGGGCTCGAGGCCTTCTCGTGCTTCTCGTGCTTCTCGTGCTTCCGTATCATCGTTCCACGTTGGGTGGTGGTTGAAGCAGCGGTGTATTGAAAAGAGAATGGGAAGTACTAACCGAAAAACGTCCCATCCGCTAGTTGGGTAGATGTGGATGCTTAGGTAGGTTCGCTTTTTCAGGCAATAAGAATTAAGTTAATGCATGCAACTGTTGTCGATCCCTTCTCGAAACTGTCACCAAAGTTTGATTACACCAGGCCCTGTTGGTCGTAAATCTTGGTCTGATGGAAGCGGAAATGGAAGATCGGGCGCAGAGATCTACTCGAATGATCTATAATCTGAAACGTTTCAATTCTGTTGATTCCTGCGATTCCGGTGACACTGTTTGTGATTTGACAAATTGACATATCAAGGCTTGTCAGGGTTTCCAAGATTAATGACTCTCTCTCTCTTCGGTAGACGATGGAGGCCGCTGGTCTTGAGTCGGAATATATCGAACGTTCTAACTTCTCTCGCTCTCCAGGTTTATCCCCAGATTATACCGTTTCTAAGATTGGCTGCGTTGTTCGAATCATGCCAGGGACCCAACGTGTTGGCAAGGGGAAGGGAAGGATGAAATAGATGGGATGGAGGGATGATTGATGATTGATGAACATTAAACACAAGGAACCGTTATCCCAAACTTGGCGATACGAAGGACACAATTACAACTTATAAGCCTCAGCCGTCAGTGTCAAATCGATCTCACTCGTGATGCGTGCAAAGACTCGTGATGTGATGATGGAAGTACAGTAGAACTTGGCTATACCGGAATGAAAAATTCGACCAATCAAATCCGGTATAAAGAATGATGGTCCAAGCGCTGTAACCAATATTTATATCCGATTTCAGCTCCAAACACCGGAAATATCATGTGATATCAGCCAATCAAGCTTACTCATCCAAAACAAAAAAAGCTTATTCAGTTAAATCTACCACCAAAATCTTATACCGGAATCATAAAAAAGTATCCGGTATTCTGGTTTTGCCCAAAAATCCGGTATTCCCATATAAAAAGTGATCAAATCAGGAAAATATTCCGGTATATCCCAGTCCGGTATAGCCAAGTTCTACTGTTTACTCATTCCACTTTAACGTGGGCAAGAGAGGAATTAAGGATGCTAACGAGATGGCCGAGTACTGCATCTGCATCTTGAGGCGAGCAGCAGTTGGAAAGAAGGGTCATTGGATAGAAGAAGAGATCATTTCCTCCAATATAAAGCAAAAGCGTCGTGGGGTGAATATGTCGTGGTCAGAGTGGAAGAATGTGAGATGGGATACGATTCGTTCGCTCACCTACTTGGGTATGGATTGGCAAATGTATCCCTGGGACACACAAGCCATTCAGGATTCTTACGTTTCTTTTATCCCTTGCTCGTCGAAAAGGTTGAATTTGACGTTTCGAGTATGATAGGTCTAATAATGATAGGTTTCGAAGCGGAGAGGGATTGGAGAAGCCGGTGTGTGTGTGTGTGTACCTAGGTATTTAATTCATAGTTGAGCGAAATAGGGAAATGGAAATAGAAATAGAGATAGCTAAGAAAAGAGAAGCCGTTTGTGATTAGGGATTGTTTGATAGGTGTATTTATAGAATGAAATGTATTTCTTTTCTTTGTTTATTCTTTATTCTTTTTTGTTTTAATTTTTAATTTTTAATTCTTCTCTTTCTCTTTCTCTTTCCCATTCCCATTCCCATTCTTCTGCCCTTGATAATGAATTGATATTAGATGAATTATTAGCATGTATATAGTGGATTAGATTCAATTCCCTAGGTCGTCCACTGTATCGTAGTATTCCGTCCATGTCAAAGCAACGGAAGGTTTGGTCCCTATGGAACATAAGCGATAAACTGGTGAACCGCTAAGCCCCTGTGTGGTTAAGAAAATTAGATAAGTAAAGTGAATTTGGGAGAACCCTGACAGGAAAAGACAAAAAGGCATAATATACTTACTACCTAGGTGTCCTATTATACCATATTACCGTCCATATCAGACCATACAATCAATACCAGCAAATCAATACCAGTTCTGGTATTCGTACCAGTATCATACAAGATCGAAGGGGGAGAGAAGCTTCCTCTACCTACCTCTCTACCTCTCTACCTCTCTACCTCTCTATCTATCTACCAACCTACCAACCGACATACATAGACAACCTTCTCTTCCATCTCTTCGATTACAAATATCAAAACTTCTTCTATATTCCCTCCAATTTGCATACTGTGTAAGTATAGAAAACTCTCTCCTTCTTTCTTCACACCCTCCTCCAATACAAACCCTCCCAAAAAGAGAGAAAGAATTGAAATCCTCCAACACGACAAGAACAACTACTACTTCCACCCCCTCCCTCCCTAACTACCCTCCCTGGTACACTCACTCTCTCGTGTCCGGAATACAACCAAGTCACACTCACACCTCACACTTCACACCTCGCATCTCAAACCTCACACAGCCTTTTCTACCGTCTCTCCTCGAAACTTGAAATTTTCTGTATTATAATTTATCTATCATCACCTCTTTTTTTCCCACCTTATCACCCCATCCATTCATTCCCTTTCCACCTATTTGATCAGGGTCTGTCCTGTTTTGAAATTCCTTCCAATCGGAAATCGGCATTGTCGCTTCGTAGTGGAGATCAAAAGTTGTCGACCTGACAAGGGAGACAAGCCGTTGGACTTTCTACTAGAGAAAAGACATCCACTTCACACATCTTCAAAAGAGTTGAGGTAATTCCTATTTTACTCTCAATCATTGTAATAGTTCTTCCCCCCTTTCTCTCGATTTAAGAGCGTCATGCAATCGTGAAGTCTTCTTTGACTCACTCACTCAACTCACCCACGCACCCACGCACCCACCCATTCATCTCAACCTAACAAAATTGCAGCTCGTCCACTCCTTGACACCACCACCTCGTATTACATTTACCGATCGAAAAATCCGACACCGTCGAAGCGGCCAACTGAGATTTTTGACTTCATGGTAGACGGAAAATTCTTTGTTACGACTTAGCAGCCTGGCTGCATATACAGAGACCAAAATGGGGGATTCTACAATAGCACACACTATTGCGATCCTGCAAACTCTCGCATTATCGAGTCTCGAACTTCCACCAGCGAATGTCTACGGCAATAAAGGGATTAGGTTACCAGGTGCAGCTACATCAGAGAAGCTTGCCCTCGAACGAGAACTTACGGCCTTGGTATCAAGAGTTCAAAGATTAGAAGCAAAGGCGATCACAGTCAATAATCAAGCCCTACCAGATACACCGAATGAATTAGGAGCACCATCTGCTTTTGCAGATGTACTCACCGGTGCTCCATCCCGTGCCTCAAAGAGTACTACCTCCCGACAACAACTCGTAAATTCGTTGCTCGCCGCTAGAGAAGCGCCCACCGGCGGTGAAAGGCCTCCTAAATTTACAAAATTGAGTGATGAGGAACTCGAAGCACTCCGCGAACATGTCGACGATCAATCGAAACAACTCGATAGTCAGAAATCTGAGTTGGCCGGTGTACATGCTCAACTGTTTGAGCAGAAGCAGAGACAAGAACAAGCACTCAATGTTCTCGAGGTCGAACGCGTAGCAGCTCTCGAAAGAGAACTGAAGAAGCATCAACAAGCCAACGAGGCTTTCCAGAAAGCTCTACGGGAAATAGGAGAGATTGTCACAGCTGTAGCTAGAGGTGATCTCAGTAAGAAGGTACAAATCCACTCCGTGGAGATGGACCCTGAGATCACCACTTTCAAGCGGGTAAGCATATCATGTCAAACTTTTCCGCATACACCCTCTCTAACTCTTTTTTTTTTAGGTTATCAATACTATGATGGATCAGCTTCAGATATTCTCGAGTGAGGTCTCCCGTGTAGCGAGAGAGGTCGGCACAGAAGGTATTCTCGGTGGACAAGCCAAGATTTCTGGTGTTGATGGTACATGGAAGGAGCTGACTGACAATGGTATGTATTTACCACTTTGGAGGCCTTGTTTGTTTTATCTGGGCGAACTGACTAATTATTTACAGTCAACGTTATGGCACAAAATCTCACCGATCAAGTCCGAGAAATTGCTTCCGTCACTACTGCTGTAGCTCATGGAGATCTCACACAAAAGATTGAGAGACCAGCTCAGGGTGAGATACTCCAACTGCAACAAACGATCAATACCATGGTGGATCAACTGAGAACGTTCGCCGCCGAGGTCACCCGCGTAGCAAGAGATGTAGGAACTGAAGGTATTCTTGGAGGTCAAGCGGAAATCGAAGGCGTCCAAGGCATGTGGAACACATTGATAGTGAACGTCAACGCTATGGCCAACAACCTCACCACACAAGTGCGCGATATAGCCATTGTCACAACAGCTGTCGCAAAGGGAGATTTGACACAGAAGGTTCAGGCAGAGTGTAAGGGTGAAATTAAGCAGTTGAAGGAGACTATAAATTCCATGGTGGACCAATTACAACAATTTGCGCGAGAAGTCACGAAGATTGCTAGGGAGGTCGGTACCGAAGGTAGACTGGGTGGGCAAGCAACAGTGCATGATGTTGAAGGCACTTGGAGAGACCTCACCGAAAATGTGAATGGTATGGCCATGAATCTTACGACACAAGTACGAGAGATCGCAAAGGTTACTACCGCTGTCGCTAGAGGAGATTTGACCAAGAAGATTGAAGTGGAAGTTCAGGGAGAAATCGCTTCGCTGAAAGATACCATCAACACCATGGTGGACAGACTTGGCACATTCGCTTTTGAGGTTAGCAAAGTCGCCAGGGAGGTCGGAACTGATGGAACCCTTGGTGGGCAAGCGCAAGTTGATAACGTCGAAGGAAAGTGGAAAGACCTCACCGAAAATGTGAACACCATGGCCAGAAACTTGACTACTCAAGTACGAGGTATCTCGACTGTTACACAAGCTATTGCCAACGGCGACATGAGTCAGAAGATTGAGGTTGCTGCTGCGGGTGAAATACTCATACTAAAGGAAACCATAAATAACATGGTAGACAGATTGAGTATCTTCTCCAATGAAGTGCAAAGAGTCGCCAAAGATGTGGGTGTGGATGGTAAGATGGGTGGTCAAGCTGACGTTGCCGGGATTGGCGGCCGTTGGAAAGAGATCACGACGGATGTCAATACCATGGCTAACAACTTGACAACTCAAGTGCGCGCCTTTGGTGATATTACTAACGCCGCAACCGACGGCGACTTCACAAAATTGATCACTGTTGAGGCATCTGGAGAGATGGATGAGTTGAAACGAAAGATCAACCAGATGGTCTACAATCTGAGGGACAGTATTCAGAGAAACACCTTGGCTAGGGAGGCTGCCGAATTTGCCAACAGAACGAAGTCTGAATTCTTGGCCAATATGTCTCACGAGATTCGAACACCTGTTAGTACCACTCTATTCCCCGCTCCGTTTTCTCTTGCATTACGCTCGAGTGCCTTTTCAATTGTTTGTACTAGCTTGAACATTGAAATGCTCTACATGGCAGGCACTCTGTTCATCACTGACCCCTTTTACCAATCTTTCATTCTCCTTAACCTAATGTATTCACTTTTTCGCTAACATTGGTGATAGATGAACGGTATCATTGGTATGACCCAGTTGACACTCGACACCGATCTTACTCAATATCAACGAGAAATGCTCAACATTGTTCACAACTTGGCCAACAGTTTATTGACCATCATTGATGATATTCTCGATTTGTCAAAGATCGAAGCAAACCGTATGATCATGGAGGAGATTCCATACACTCTTAGAGGAACCGTCTTCAACGCACTCAAGACTCTTGCCGTCAAAGCAAACGAGAAATTCTTAGATCTCACTTACCGCGTGGATAGTTCAGTTCCAGATCACGTGGTTGGTGATTCGTTCCGTCTTCGACAAATTATTCTCAACCTGGTTGGAAACGCTATCAAGTTCACAGAGCATGGTGAAGTTTCTTTGACGATCCAAAAAGCCGAACAAGATCATTGTGCGCCAAATGAATATGCAGTCGAGTTCTGCGTTTCTGATACTGGTATCGGTATCCAAGCTGATAAACTCAATTTGATTTTCGACACTTTCCAACAAGCAGACGGATCTATGACGAGAAAATTCGGAGGTACTGGTCTAGGTCTATCAATCTCAAAGAGACTTGTAAACCTCATGCGTGGAGATGTTTGGGTCAAGAGTCAGTACGGAAAGGGCAGTTCATTCTACTTCACATGTACAGTCCGCCTCGCAACCTCAGACATCAGCTTCATTCAGAAACAACTCAAGCCATATCAAGGTCACAATGTTCTGTTTATCGACAAAGGACAGACTGGTCATGGAAAAGAAATAATCACTATGCTTACACAACTTGGTTTGGTACCCGTTGTTGTCGACTCTGAGCAGCATACCATTCTTCTCGGCAATGGAAGGACCAAGGAGAAGATTGCTTCAACTTACGATGTGATTGTTGTGGACTCAATTGAGTCCGCTCGAAAACTGCGATCAATCGATGAGTTCAAGTATATCCCAATTGTTCTCTTGGCTCCTGTCGTCCATGTCAGCTTGAAGTCTGCTTTGGATCTTGGTATCACTTCTTACATGACCACTCCATGTTTAACGATCGATCTTGGCAACGGTATGATCCCTGCCTTGGAGAACCGAGCTGCACCCTCATTGGCGGACAACACAAAATCCTTCGACATTCTCTTGGCCGAGGACAACATCGTCAATCAACGCTTAGCAGTGAAGATTCTAGAAAAGTATCACCACGTCGTTACTGTCGTTGGCAATGGTCAAGAAGCACTAGATGCTATCAAGGAGAAACGATACGATGTTATTCTCATGGACGTTCAAATGCCAATTATGGTAAGTGCAATGCGCAATCACATTATAACACGGGAGAAATATGACTAACACTATCGCAGGGAGGATTCGAAGCAACCGCTAAGATTAGAGAGTACGAACGAAGTCTTGGAACGCAAAGAACGCCTATTATCGCTCTCACGGCACACGCTATGTTGGGTGATCGCGAAAAATGTATTCAAGCCCAAATGGATGAATATCTTTCTAAGCCTCTGAAACAAAATCATCTCATTCAGACCATCTTGAAATGTGCAACTCTTGGAGGTGCATTGCTCGAGAAGGGTAGGGAGGTTAGGCAATCCGCTAATGAGGAGAGCCCCAACTCGCAAAATGGTACTCGCGGTACACAGCATCCTGCATCGAGTCCCACACCAGCCCATA